ACCCGCATTCTTATACTACTAACCCACCGAGCGTTTGCCGTCTACGGAAATCCCTGTACGGCATTAAACAGGCACCGCGGCTCTGGCAGCAGTATCTACACTCGCAGCTGATCATTGCTGGATTTTGACAGTTACCGCATGATCAGGGAATGTATCGACTGACCGACGGCAACAACTACATTTTACTCGTTGCCTACGTCGACGACATCCTATACGTTAGTACTACAGATTCTCTTGCCGAAACCTTTATACTGAAATTACAGAAAAATCTACAGCTTACCGTCTCCGAAACAGTTTCACAGTTTCTTCGACTGAACATTACCTGTTCACCGACAACTATTCATCTCACCGCTTCGAAGTACGCAGCAACTCTCGCTGCCCGCTTTAACCTCACACCTACTACAGTCTCTACACCGTACCGCTCACTACCGACTGACCACAAACCGAACACGGCACTGTTAACTTCAACTGGTTTACAGATCTATTAGCAGCAGCTAGGCTGTCTACTCTTCGCCGCTGTCACTTGTCGTCCTGATCTAGCCTACGCAGCCAGTCAGCTTGCTCAGTTCCTACGCCGTCCTGAGGAGGAGCATCAGCGTGATCTACTTCGTGCGCTTCAATATTTTATCTCGACACCTGACGTCGGATTAGTCTACAACGTTATCGGCTGTAAGACACTCTATCTACATGGTTTTGTCGACGCCGATCACGCTGTTGATTCTACTAATCGACGGTCACGCACTGGGTTCATCTATCGACTGGAACCTATCGGACCAATTTCTTGGAATTCTACGAAGCAGGAGCTGATTGCACTCTCCTCTGCTGAAGCTGACTTTATTGCTGTCTGCACAGCAACACGCAAAGGACTTTACTTACAGGAACTATTAGAAGACGCGAAGTTGACGACAACTACTCAGTTTACCCTACAGTGCGACAATCAAAGTGCAATTCGCATCGCACATCAACCTGGTTTCGTCAACAGGACGAAGCATATTTCGCTTCGTTATTTTTTTGTCAAAGATGAAGTCGAGAAGGGGAGGATGCGATTGGTCTACTGTTCGACCAACGAAATGGCTGCCGATTTTCTCACAAAGAAGCTGACACAACAGAAGTTTCAGTACTGTAACAAGCTCTGCGGAATCTTCAAGAAGTGACACTATCGACGTTCCAGAAATGAAGGGGAGTGTTGTGATATAATTGGTACTTAGCATTTCTGTAAGTCGATTAAGTGTAGTTAGTGTCGAATCTTACTGTAGAACATAAGTCCGTAGGATGACGTCAGCAAATAGCGCTCGTCATAGGACAGTCGTTTCAGTCACACGAACAGTCGCACCTCTTCATTATCATCTAGGGCGCATAGCGCGATAGTGACGAACAGGTACATTAGCGAATAGGTACTTTTTCTAGAACTATAAATCATTGTTCGGTCTTTTTCATTTATTAACTTTGATTATTCACAAGTTCACGTACTCAGGTTATTCAACCTTGACCTTTACATTTTACAAGACTTCCGCTGTCTTACTAGTCTACCATTCCAGCAAAGATCCTGGACCAACACTTGAGGGTTTGCCAAGTGTTCGCAATTATAGTTTTATACTTAGTCTTTTACAACACTAGGAGATTTATTTCAAATTTGACAGGTATTGCAGGAGACTAAGTATAGAATCTGCTAACACGAACACTTGGAAAACCTCAAGTGTTAGCCTAGGATCTTTACTGGAATGGTAGACTAGTAAGACAGCGGAAGTCTTGTAAAAGAATGATAGTCAAGGTTGAATAACCTGAGCACATGAACTTGTGGATAATCAAAGTTGATAATGGAAAGGCATAACAAGGATTTATAGTTCTAGGAAAGTCCCTGTTCGCTAATGTACCTGTTCGTCACTATCGCACTATGCGCCCTAAATGATAACGAAGAGATGCAACTGTTCGCATGACTGAAACGACTGTCCTCATGACGAGCGCTATTTGCTGACGTCATCCTACGGACTTATCTTCTACAGTATGATTCGACACTATCTATTGATAAACGACTTACAGAAATGCTAAGTATGAATTATATCACAACAGAATCCTCTTCATTTCAAACATCAAGAACACGCCGTGCTCTGTGCGGCGACAGATCCGCCAGCAATCGAATGGGCGGTTGGTGTAGGAAGTGTTGATTACTGCCTGGTGGCCCTTCCCTGGGTGGTAAAGAAGAATCTGGTTCTCGGCCAGTTTCACTGGAAGTCAGGGCACTGCTCTGTGGGATCTGTTGAGAAGAGAGCGAGGCATAATGTGAGATTTCGAGGACAGGGAGATAAGGGGTGTTTGGGCATCTTGAGGACTGATCTCGGTGGTCACATAAGCAGCCAGTTTGCGGAAAGTTGCAGCAGAAGTTGGGGCTCTGTGCCATGGAGCATAGGAGACGTACTGAAACTGGAGTGGGGAAAGGTGAAGGCAGGGGGAGATGGGAGAATGAGCCCACAAATGGTCTTGAGAGGAGGTCTATGATTGGTAACAAGAGCAGCCTATGGCAACACCCTACTAGGGTTTAGTAGCCATTTTGTCCTCTTGCCACTCACACCCCCTTCCTCTTCCTCCCTCTCTCGCCTTCCTACCTTCGTGCCACTCCAGTGCATCCCCCAGTTCTGCCACTCCTGCCTCCCCCTCCACTGCAGATGCAATAAGCGCCCCTTTCCCGTCCGCCCTTCCCAACTGCGCAGGCTTGCGCCGTCACCGCCAGTCAGCCATTCCCCCGTCGAGCGGGCGATGCAAGCGCATTCACAGGTGGCAAAGGGGAGCTGTTTTCCACCCTGGCAGAATCATCTATCATGCAAGGCATCCCCCAGCAACCCATTTGAAATCAGCTTGTATATGAGCAGCCGCTGGTCACTAGCAATGGTGTACCCGAGGTGCATGATGAAAAAATGTAGGGTTACCATGTAAGACTGTTCACATAGCCTGTAAGCTATAGGATGGTGTGTACTGTTCTTCACCAACTCTTCCCTCCATTGCCAGCAGAATCACCTGCACACTCCTCTCCGTTCAACTCCCATATCATCCCCACTCTCTCTCCTCGACTACCAGCAGCTTTGGGGCTCCTCCTCTCCCTCCCTTTGACCCCCTTCTCCTTGAGACATGGGGCTAAACCCAGGGGGTCTGGAAAAAAGGGGGGGAGGAGGTGGGACGGGTAGTGGAAGAGGGGAAGGGGAAATAGAAAGAGGAAGAGGAGGGTGAGGCAGAGGGAGAGGTGGTGATGGAGGGGGAGTGAGGGGCTATGGGGCCTTTGATTCCGGCTTTGGAGGGCTAGGTAGAGGGGTTGGAGGTGGATGTCCGGGGCTGTGTTTGTGTTCACTAGGCGGACAGAGGATTATCAGAAGCTACACCAGTCCACCATAAATTCAAAGTCACCCTGCCAGGCAGCCCCCCCTTCCCCCTCCTCCCCCCCCCCCTCCTCCCCCCTCTCCGTCCAGATTTGCTGCATTTGAGCTGCAATTCTCTGCAGCCGAGAGCATCGGTGGCAAGAAAGCTTGGGTCGCTTTGAGCCGTGGGGTTTGGTTCAGCAGCAGCAGGTACAGGAGGGGCTCGAGTGAAACTGGGTGATGCTTGTGCGGGTTCGGAGTTCCGCCTGGTAGCTTCTGCTACAGCTGCTGCTCCTGTGGCTGGAAATGCTGCCACTTATGCTAATGCTGTTGCCTTGGCTGAAGCTGCTGCTGGGAAAACCCATACTAGCGGCACAGTAGCAAGTTTGGGAATGGTGGCATGCGTGCTTATATCACCTTGCCTCGTATGGGCATGTTGGTGGGGGGGGGTGGTGGTGGTTTTGGGGTTGGGGGTTCACGTGGATCCTGGGAGGGGTTGTGCAAAGAGAAGGATTTGCTAGTCCAGCTGTGAGTGCTGGCAGCAACAGTGCTGCTGCTGTGTCTGGTGGTGCTGAAATAGGTGTTGGAGATACGGGTTATGACATGGGATATGACATGGGCTAGCACATGGCTTTTGAGTCCAGTCAGAAGTCACCTCGGTGTTGCTGCTGCGTGTCTGGTGGTGCTGAAATAGGTGTTGGAGATACGGGTTATGACACGGGATATGATATGGGCTAGCACATGGCTTTTGAGTCCACTCAGAAGTCACGTCGGTGTTGCTGATGCTGTGTCTGGTGGTGCTGACAGTGGTGCCAGTGGTGGTGGTGAGATGGGTTGTGGCATGAGATATGACATGGGGTATGACATGGGGTATGGCATGGGGCATGACATGGGTTAGTACCAGGCCCCTAGATTGGTCTCAGGCATGCTGATCGCTCAGCATCCCCCCTGAGATTTTCCCTGATTTTTCAAGGATGGCCGGACTTACTGGATTTTTTTTCCTGAGCAAACAGCGTTACTTACGAAAACTTTCCTGAATTCTCGAAGCTTTGTGGTTACTTACTTCCATAGCAAATTCACGCGTGCAGGTCGAAATTATGGGGCAAGACACGAATTCGGTTGGGCGGGCGAGATTGCAGGTGCCAATGGGATTGTCGCCCTCACAAGGCTCCAAGGCACACATCTGGCCCAAAATTTGGCGAAGGGCCATGAAGTCCCCTCACACAGCCCCCAGCACCATCGAGCCTCAAATCTGACAAAGGGCGAATCAGCGCCCTCACACAACCTAGAGGGAGGAAAGACTCCCCCCAGCACCATCGAGCCTCAAATCTGACAAAGGGCGGATCAACGCCCTCACACAGCTTAGAGGGGGGAAGAACCTCAGAAATCTCGGGAGACCCTCCAAATCAAGCATTGGCGGAAACGGGTACAGTTCGTTACAAAGCTGAAATTTCAGGGTTTCCTAAGAAAACCTTGCGGAGGAATCAGAGTTGACCACTAAAAAAAGGATGAAAAATCAGGACATGCCATCTACAAAATCCTGCCCAATCAGGGCTGGTACCAGCAACAACCCTGTTTTTTTCCTGAATCAGGAAAAGTTTCCTGCAATTTAGGGGCCTTGTTAGTACACGTGGGGCAGAAACAAGATCAAGCAAGGTTTATCTCCAATGGCTTCTTCCCTTCCAACAAATTTTCCACAATACATTCAACTTGATACAATGTGCCTGCTTGCCAAACCAGCCTCAACTAACATAAGCTGCCCCTACAGCAGCCACCTGACATGAACAGCCATCCGCCCCTCCGAAAACCATCCGCCCTTACAACAGCCACCCGCCTCTCATGGCAAGGCAAGGCACATTCCATCAAGTCGAACGAGCCTGCAACCGGCAGCACATCATTCAGGCTTCCCCCTCAAGGCACATCATCAAGGCATCCTTTGCTTGCGGTCCTGTCTCACGCCGATCCCCAACAGGCACCGCCCACACCAGATTGCCCCGCTGGCAATGCCAGATTACTCCAGAAAGGCAATGAGGTTCTGCTGGCCTGTGAGGTGGAGGAAGAGGGAGAGAGGTGCGGAGGAGGGGGAGGAGATGCGAGCGAGGAGAGACGAGGCGAGATCAGCAGAGATGCGTGCCTCTCCCACCACCGCATACACACTACCTGCAGCTCCAGCAGCAGCACCAGCAGCAGTGTTGATTCCAGCATTGACACTACCTGCAGCTGTCACCCAGGTGCCAGGCAGCACCATCAGGGGAGACAGGACTGAGGGGACCGAGCCAAGCACCGAACCTGCCACTTTCCCTGCCGAGCCTGCAGCCGAGCCTGCCACTTTCCCCACAGTGCCGATCACCGAGCCTGCGACATTACCCACTGTGCCTACCACCGAGCCTGCAGCCTTCCCCGCCGAACCGACCACGTTCCCCACAGCCCCGCCCACACCAGAGACAACCCCACCCACGCCAGAAACAAGCCCCTCCGAGGAGAGATCAAGGTTTGCCGAGCCTCCGAGGTTGGCCTGGACGCCTCCCGAGCCTGCATTGACCCCAGCGCCGACGCCAGCTGAGGTGTTGAGGAGAGGGGAGGAGGCTCCGAGGGAGGCAGAGCCGGAAAGAGTGCCGTTGGGGAGAGACACGCCCACTCCTGCTCCCACGCCGGCAGATGTGTTGAGGAGGGCAGTAGAAGCAGAGACAAAGCCAGAGCCAGAAGCAGTGCCTCTGGGGAGGGACGCGTCAGCACTGCCAGCAGCAGCTGCGGAGGTGTTGAGGAGGTTGGTGGAGGTGGCAAGACCGCCTACGCCTGAGAGAGAACCGTCGGGAGTGAGGGAGGCACCACCACCCACTGCTGTGGATGCAGAGATGGAGGAGTTGAGGAGAGAGGTGGAGGCGGAGAGGGAGCCAGTGCCGCTGGCGCCAGTGGTGGGAGTGAGGGAGGCTCCAGTACCAGTGGTAGCAGAGAGGGAGGAGTTGAGGAGGTTGGCGTTGGTAGTGAGAGAGCCGGAGCCGGTGACGCCGGTGGTGGGCAAGAGAGAGGCGTTCAGTGAGCCATCGCCAGAGAGAGAGGCGGATGCAGAAACAGCAGGAGAGGAGGAGGCGGAGGAGGAGGGAGAGGACGTGGAGGAGGAGGGAGAGCAGGGGTTGCGGGTGATGATGGCAGGGGAAGCGGAGGGTCGCTGAGTCAGGCCTTGGGCCGTGATCTTGTAGGACAGATAAACGGACGCGCCCCTGAGAGTTGGTGTGAGAGGGGAGGGAGGGAAAAAAAGAGAGGGGAACGGGAGGAGTTGTCAGGGGAAGCAGAGGGCCGCTGAGTCAAGCCCCTGAGGGCCGTGATCTTGTAGGAGAGATAAACGGACGCGCCCCTGCGGTGGATGGTTGGAGAGGGGATTTTGGCGTGAATGATGAATGGCAGGAGGGCTCTTGTTGGAATTGTACACCTGATCGATGCCAAATTGGTAAAGAACAATACGTAGAAGCATGCCTTATGAAATGAAATTAGTAATTGTGAAATCTAGCTCAAATGAAGAGACTCATACCTCCTGAGGATGTTGATGTCAGCTGTGCCACCAATGTTGGTTGCGACGATGCTGCTAGTGCCTCCGATGCGAGCGTTGAGTGCCGCACAAGGCGTGGTGAGACTGCCATGGAGAGACGCTGACCGTGGTAACAGGGGAATTTTCGTAATTTTAGACGATTCCGAGGTAGAAACGTGGTGGTTGCGGTGCGTGAGAGAGGACGAGAGGAACATGGGCGAGGAGGAGATAGGCGCGCGCGTCAATAGCATTTTTGGAACCGGTTTCCCGATGCAAGGGTGATTTTGAGCAAGTAATAAAAAAGCAGCCTGTTGAGAAGATTGGGAAGGTCGACAGGGATTGGAGGCTCACCCAGAATCTTGACGCGGGCTCCGAGGCCAGGGCGAGCGGAGTGGGCGGACGGAGGGAGGAGCGCTGCAGGAGAGGGACGTGTGGGATGGGCGGTTTCGGGTTTAGGGAAGAGGAATATGGAAAAGCGAGCAAAGAAAACAGCACGAGTTCAATAGGCGAACGAATGGGACGTTTTCCAAGAGAAGTTCCTCACCTCCAAGTGCAAGAGCGAGGATAATCGCCAAGGCAGAGCGAGGGGTAACCGGAGCCATCTTATATGGCTTGCTTTCGTCAGATGAACGCTTGAATCAGGAAGTAAAGCGGCCTATTGACTGCTGCTTGGAACGGCTGACTGCTGTGAGTGCAAGTAGGAATTGCGTTTGCGGGTTGCGATGGTGGGAATGTGGAGAAATGCTGTTTTTATTCACATCCGCTGCGGACCGCGCATTGGAGTTTCGCGGCCCGTCCGAGTGGGGCGGTGGTGCACTAGGGTCGAGTTTAGGGCTGGCTGTAGGACAGGCCACGTGGCTGGCGCTGATCGTCGTGAGGCTGTAACCGCTGGTGCGACGGTGTGGCAGGCTGCAAGAAATTCAGTTGACTAGTTGAGAAATGTCAACGCTCCGCAGCTTATCGCGTACGGACATTTTCTGCATGGGATGCGAAAATTGTACGACAATGTGCCAATTTATTCAGCTAAAACAAGCATACACATTAGCACGATAACAATAGGTCTAGAAGGAAAGCAATATGGTAGCGTCCACCTTATTGAGTTGATAGGCTGCAGTGAACGCTAGCAGCTTTTATTATGGGTGCCATGGTATATGCACCACTTCACCTTAGGCCCCCCTATGTGGCAATTGTCTCAACACCTCCTTTGCAGTTACCGCCCACCACAAACAGCCCGTCCGCCCGTTGTTGGTATGTGGTGGAGGTGACATCTGCCGGGTTAGCAGGCTCACACGGGCTCTGCTCCGCCCGCCACAGCTTGCATCGGCCTGAGAATGGATGGGAGCAAAAGATATGAGGGAAAGCTGATGAAAGGAGAGTGGAGGTAACAAGAGAGACAGCAGAGACAGTAGGCATGTTGTGTCCCATTATTTCACAGTTGGTGTTGCCTTGGTCCAATCTCCCCCATAGCTTCCCTTACCTTGGATTTTCTTCATTTCAAACATCCAAAACGCGCAGTGCTCCGTGCGGCGGCAGATGCGCCAGCACTCGAACGGGCGGTTGGTGTAGGGAGTGACGATCACCGCCTGGTGGCCCTTGCCAGAGTGATCAAAGAAGAAGCCGGTCCGAGGCCAATTGCAGCGGAACTCAGGGCACTGCGCCGTGGGGCCTGGGGGAGGGACAGAGAGCGGAGCGGGGAAAGGTGAAGGCAGGGGGAGATGGGCGAAGGGGCCGATGATTTGTAACAAGAGAAGCCTAGGGCAATACCCTAGGACCCCCGTCTCCCTCTTCCAAAAGCTTACCTTCGTGCCACTTCAATGCATCCCCCCCTTCCGCCACTCCCGCCTCCCCCTCCGCTGCGGATGCAGTAAGCGCCCCTTCCCCTTCCGCCCCCCCGACTGTCCTGTCTGGTTCGGCCTGCGCTGTCACTGCCAGGGAGCCATTCCCCTGTCGAGCAGGGGATAAAGGCGCGCTCACAGGCGGCAACGGGGAGCTGTTTTCCGCCTCCCCGGAATCATCTCCCCCCGCATCTTTCCCCTCTTCGCCCGCGCCAAACCCCGGAACCGCCAGCTCCGACTGCTTCTGCCCCCTCAGCCGCGCGCCAACTGCCGCCGCCACCCGGAACGTCCCCACGCTCTCCCCCTCTTGCGCGGACGGCCCCGCCATTGCGGGGGTAATCTCAAGCGACTTTGGATCCGAAACGTTCCCAGGTGCTACTACAGTCACTCCCACCGCAACGGTAACATCTAGGCTTTCTCCTTTCTCCCCGCTTCCGACGGCGCTCGCGCTTTCTTCCGCCGCGGCTGTGGCAGAGTCGTCCGCCAAGTCATCGTCGCACGGCTCGTCGCCGCCATCGGAATCGCCGACCGCGCCGTCCTGCGTGGGCGAAGCCGTCGCATGACCCAGGGTCGCAGAGACCGTCGCCGAGTCGTCGGCGACTGCGATTGTCGCGGTGTCGCCGGAAATGCAATTTCCGCCGAATCCGAAGAATCCCTCGATTCGCGGGATCGGATCGTACATGACCTTGCCGGATGCGTCTGGGCGGCACGGGCTCTGCTCTGCCGTCCACATTTTGCAGAAAGCTGCCAGGTCACGTGGGCGGTTCGGGACAGAAAAGGGGGAAGCGAAGTGAGAAAGCGGCGGACGTGAGCTTTAAGTTGTTTGAATGAATAGAACGAAGAGAGGACGGGGAGGAGGGAAGGAGAAGGGGTAAAAGGGGGAAGCGAAGAGAGAATGCGGAGGACGTGGGGATGACGGACTTGTTTGATAGAAAAAATCGAAAGAGTGAATAGGACAAGACGGTCGTGAGGAAGACGGACTTCAAGTTGTCGGAATGAAGAAAAGAGGAGAGGGTGGGGACGGGGAAAGATGAGAGAAGAAGGAATGACAAGCGAAACCATGATGAGGAACAGCGAAACCATGATGAGGAACAGCGAAACCATGATGAGGAACAGCGAAACCATGATGAGGAACAGCGAAACCATGACGGGGAAGGGAATTGCGCGGAAGGAATGAGGAACAGCGTACCTCCGGTGGACATGAGTCGGGACATCCACACGTCGCAGTCAGCCGTCAGAGCGGTTAGGGCACTCCGCGATAGACAGAAATTCGGCGAACCTCCGGTGGATATTAAACGGCGGAGCCGGAACATGTTTTTTGGCGTACCTCCAATGGATATGAGTCGGAACATCCACACGTCGCAGTCAGGAGTGGAGGCGCAAATCTCGCTGCACGCGGCTGACGTGCGACTCCCGCCGCTGAGCTCCACGTCATTGAGATTGCCACGATTCGGATGGTTCCGGAGCACGCCTTTCTGTGTGACGTCGCATTGTAACGGAGGGCACGCGACGTTCGTTAAGCTCGCCAAATCCGCGCTCGCTGTTCTGGCGACTAAGATCCCGAGCAGATATAGTAACGCTACGATCGGCATACCTATGCGGCGCCGGCTGTCAGATACAGCCATGAATCGATTGATTGTTGAAAAGTAACTATCCTGACTATTGGGTGACGAGCTACGACGAACGCACAAGAGGCCGAGCTTGTATAAGTAATCGTCGTTCTGAAATTCTGAACTACATATAATTTTATGGCGTCGTTAGTAGTTACTGCACCCATACACGCGCATTCCTCGCAGTTGGGGAGTGTGGCTGGCCAGGACCCAGGACGCAGGAGGAAGGAGCTCTCCTGTGCGCTCCGTTAATTTGTGCGCCTCTGTGGACGGTAGAGATGAACTGTGATGGTTCACGGAGGGTTGCGATTGCCTCGATGCGCCGAGTGTGGTTCCATTCGGATCTCCCATGGAAAGTCAGTGTTTCGGGGGGGGGGCAGTCGACGGTGAAAGATTGAGTGTCGATGTTATTGGAGGAATCTGATTGGGCGAAAAGAACGAACCGCGAAATCCATGTGATGTGGATGGACGCTGGATCCACAGGCAGAGTTTGTCCATGCGTGGGTGGCATGTGTCCGCCTCGGTGGATCCATAGCGCGCCTGTGTTTTCCCTCCATGTTCGCTATTACTTGTTCCGAAGATAACCAATACAAGACCAAAATGCAGAGGCTGAGCAATCTGTATGATAACCAATTGTTGCTGATGTATGCGGTCATACTTCATTCATAGACAACCGAACGGCCCACCTCGTGAGAATAAATTAACTTAAACGCCCGTATATATGACTCTAGGGTATAATCTCATATACTAGTGAATTTTGGGGTGAGTCTTATAAGGAGACGTGAAAATTATTTCTGCATGTAGTTTTGCTCATGTTTACGTTCCTGACTCATTGTCGAGTATTCAGGCCCAATCTCGGCCTTCTCAGTGCGACATGTAAAATGCGAATCTGATTGGTTCAACCATTGTGCTTCCCAATCAAAGTGGGCATTTCATTTGGCGGGAAAATCCATGAGACACCACATCGTAGGCGATCAGAGCTGTCACAATTTGATAGACGGTTAAGATTTGTCTTCAACCCTTACACAGCAGCACAACAGGTTCGAGACTGTAAGTAAGAACACGCTTGACTTCGTCCTGATTGGACGACAGTATGCCACCTAGCAAATCTCTGTCCCTTACGATCTCTTTGTGGCAATCGAGCCCTCGCTCCCCATCCTTACCGTATTTGTATTTATAGTTCCCCTTTCTTATTACGTTTCCATACACCTCGCTTTCTCTCATCTCCCGAAAGTTTTTTGCTCGCCTTCTCCGCGCCCTCGCTTTCGTGTGTTGTTTTTTCTCGCTCTATGTTTTTCCGCATTGCTGCAGAATGGCACGGCGAAGGTTTTTTATTTGTATTTTTTTTTTTAAATTGTGGGTCTAAAAAAATGCGGAAATGGCAGGGTCTATTTGGTCGAGGACCACAACCCCGCCAAAAGAACCCAATGGAAACCGGTCCTATATCCGGGCGTTTACGGTATAGAATCCATTTCACTCATTAGAGCAACAGTTTACTCCACCTTATCTTCAAGAACATAAGCATAACAATCCAGCCTAGGTGATTGAGCCCCTTACATAGAAGCTAAGCATTCAGTACAACGACAAGAAGCTTACTACACACCAAAACACCTGCATTAGGCATAAATAACTAGTTCCCATTCGACAGCTCTCATCTAAAGCTAGGCATGGAACCTTCCAGTTGTGAGTAATAATCAGGTGATCAGATTTCCGTTTATCCATAACCACAACGGTATATTTCCTCTGAAACCCCTCCTCACCTCCCCCTCCACCCACCACCACCGCCACCACCACCACGACCGTTACCATCGCCGCCGTTCTTCCGTAATCCGGGCGGCAGCGGCAGAGGCATGGGCCCAGTGGGCCCCGCCTGCAGGGGAGGTGCATCAGGGGGAGGCTGCATCTGGCCCTGGGAGGAGGGGGAGGTGTTGCCTATGAGGGGGTCTGTGCTGGTGGCAGATACACCCGAGGTGAAGGTGTGGCCTGGTGTCAGCTCTGCTGCTGCCGCTGCTAGCGCGGCCATGCGCCCCTTCCTGCCCTTGCCCTGCAGGTGGGGGGGTGAGGAGCAGAGGAGGAAAATAAAGAGCAGGGAGGGAAGGGAGAGAAGGGAGGGTACACATGAGGCTGAGTGTGATGTTTGCTGCTGCCGCTGCCAGTGCTGCCATAAAGCCCTGGCCTTGCACTCAGCGCTGTGGGGGTGCTGCTGCACTATGTCCTAAGGGTACATGGCATCCCTCTCTCCTTACATCTCCCCACCTACCCTTCCTCTCCACTCACCCACCTTTACTCACCCCGGCGCCCCCCTTGCTCTCAGCGCTGTGCGGGTACTTCTGCACAATCTCCTCGGGGTACATGCCACCCCGCCCGTGCACAAGTCTCCATCCAAGCCCTCCCCCATCTCCACTCACCCATCCCCACTCCCCCATCTCCACTCACCCATCCCCACTCCCCCATCTCCACTCACCCATCCCCACTCCCCCATCCCCACTCCCCCATCCCCACTCCCCACTCTCCATCTCCACTCACCCATCTCCACTCACCCATCTCCACTCACCCATCTCTACTCACCCCGGCGCTGCCCCTGCTCTCAGCACTATGGGGGTACTGCTGCACTATCTCTTCGGGGTACATGTCATCCCGCCCCCCCGTCTCGCCTCCAGAGTACTCCGCGCTCTCCCTCCGCCCGACCGCCGACTCATCATCCGTTGCCTCGATCTCTGTGTCCGCCCGGCCCTCGATCATCGCCACCACCTGGTGGGACACGAGGGGGGGTTATGGGGAGTAAGACAGCAAGGCAGTGGGATAATGTCAAGAGTTTGATTGCATTCTCCCCTCCTCCGACCGTGAGGAGTCTATTTTTGAGGCGCCTCAAAGATAAATGTCAAGAGCTTGTTTGCATTCTCCCCTCCTCCGACTGCGAGGAGTCTATTTTTGAGGCGCCTCAAAGAAAAATGTCAAGAGTTTGATTGCATTCTCCCCTCCTCCGACCGTGAGGAGTCTATTTTTGAGGTGCCTCAAAGATAAATGTCAAGAGTTTGATTGCATTCTCCCCTCCTCCGACCAGTCCCTTCATCGTTCCGAACACAGGACAGTCAGGCACCAGAGGGGGGGGAGGGGGGACTTACACACAGCAGGAGCAGCAACAGCAGCATCAGCATCAGCATCAGCATCAGCAGCAGTGCAGCAGCAGTAACCAGAAGGGTTACCAACCACACCGTTTGGCCAAGCACCCCTGCCCTATTCACGGCGCCACTGAAAAGCATCCCTCACCTGGCTCATCCTGGGCCTCAGCACGGCGGACTGCCGCACACAGAGTGCCGCAGCGGTAACCAGCCGCTCCATCTTGCGCTGCCCGTAGCACCCGTCCAGCTCGGGGTCTGCCAGGTCCTCCATTGCACGCTCGGCTAGCAAGGGGCGCGCCTGGTGATGGGGGGGGGGCAGGGGGGTGGGGGGGGGGGAGAGGGTGGGCAGGGCACAGAATGAGACACAGTGAGTACGAGGGTCCATCTCGCGCTGACCGTAGCCCCCGTCCAGCTCGGGGTCTACCGGCTCCTAGATGCCCTCTCTGCCAAGAGAGCGCACGCGTGTTGGAAGGGGGGGGCATGGGGAGCAGAGGGAAGGGAACAGAGGGGACACGTGAGAAATGCTCTCTGTCCCGGACTGCCCATAGCACCCCCGTCCAGCTCGGGGTCTGCTAGCTGCCCCGCTCTGCTAGTGGAGGGAGGGCGAGCCTGATGGGTGGTGGCGGTGGGAGAAGGGAGAGAGAGAGGGGGGGCGCACTAATAGAGCGAGCTATTTATGCGCCTTCACCCCTTCACCCATAACTTGTTTCATCTACCACTGGCTCTAGGGGGAGGGGGGGGAAGCACAGAATGGGACTCAGTGAGAGAGGGTCCATCTCCTGCTGACCATAGCACAAGTCCAGCTCAGGGCCTGCCAGCTCCTCCTCGGCACGCTTGGCTAATAAGGGGCGCGCCTGGACAAGCGTGATGGTGGGGTCAAGGGATGGGGGTGAGAGGGGCGGGGGTGAGAGGGGCGGGGGTGAGAGGGGCGGGGGTGAGAGGGGCGGGGGTGAGAGGGGCGGGGATGAGAGGGGCGGGGATGAGAGGGGCGGGGTGAGAGGGGCGGGGGTGAGAGGGGCGGGGGTGAGAGGGGCGGGGATGAGAGGGGCGGGGGTGAGAGGGAGGGGACCAAAGGATTGGATTGTTTGTGGTTGTGGTTGTGGGAAGCTGCAATGACACTAGCACAAGGGTCTGAGACACGGAAGCTTGCCCTCGTTACAAGCTGACTCACCCACTCCACAAGACTGTCGCTGCCCTGCGGCTTCTCCTGCTCCACTGGCCTCTTCCCCGTTATAAGCTCCAGCAGCACCACTCCAAACGAAAACACGTCCGACTTCTCTGTGAGCTTGCCTGTGAGCGCATACTCTGGTGCCAAGTACCTGGATGAACAAGAGACAGTGAGAGAGAGAGAGAGAGAGAGAGAGAGAGAGAGAGAGAGAGAGAGAGAGAGAGAGAGAGAGAGAGAGAGAGAGAGAGAGAGAGCATGAGTCCCTCTCCAGCTATATAAGCTCTCTCCCTCCCTCATTCTTCCTGTTTAGTTTCCAGTTCTTTCTTTTCTCCAACCCTTGCTGGCGGCTCGCGTCGGCGGCCTTCGGCCGCCGACGCTCGCAGCGCGGCCTTCGGCCGCGCGTGAGGGGCGGCAAGGACACGAGGCTACAAAGTCAACTACGACAACACCAAATACACGCATCCGGGGTCTACAGCCCGCCAACACTACACTCGGCAAACAAGCATGGAGAGCCTCACAGAGCTTACCAGAGCGCTCACGCTAGAGCGCACTTCACCAACCAGAACCTACACACGACGGCAGCCCATCACACGGCTTCGTCCGCTCCAGCCTCCTCAAGCAGGGCCCTCACATAGTCCCCCAGGAGCATCAGCGCTGACACGGCACCGCCAACGATGTCTACAGCTGCAGCCGAGTCTACACTCGCCGATACTGTCCGCATCACGGCGAGCAGGCGCGGGTCCAACACGGTTCCCGAGGCGGGCGCAGGCTGCACTCGCGTGGACACGACCGCCAGATCCGCTGCAGCCATCGCGCAGCGATGGAGTGGATCGTGAGGCATCTTGCACGGGCTCACTGAGCTCCGTAGAACGGAGTGTGAGTCCGTCAGCATCTCCACAGCATACCCCATTGCCCTCTGCGCGTGCCAGAGCCGACGAAGCGTGGCGACTGGGATCGCAGTCTCCGCCAGCCGCTCCCTCCCGCGCAGGCGCTCCAGCTGCGCCCTCTGCGGCATCCGCAGCCCACCCGAGCGACGCCGCCCCTGGTCCCCAGGAGGCGAGTCCTCGCCCGTGGACTCCGCTCCCCCCATCTCCGCTGCTTCTGCCCCCCCCTCAACTCCAGTCGGTGACGCCAGCGAACAGCGGGGGGGGACAAAGGGCGCTGTCGCCCGCCCGCCGAACGATGCTGGAGCCACCAACGGCGGTGGGCCACGGGACCACCCTACCACCGACACATCCGGGGGCGTCGGCTGCCAGGGCGGCAATGTCTCCGCGGACTGCACGTCCAACCGACGCGGATTGAAGGGATCGGCCGAGGGGAGGACCGGCGGAGGAGGTGCGGCGGGAAGAGACGCCAAGAGGTGCGGGCTGTCGAGGAGCGGGAGAGCTGCCACACTGCGGGGAGGGAACGCCGGCGCCGGCGCCTGAGGAAGGGGTAAACGCATGGGCTGCGAGTGCGCCGGCTGGTACCGCTGGGACGCCAGCAGCTGCGGAGAATACGCCAGAGCCTGCTGGGGTTGGGCGACACTGCGGAACAAGCCCTCGAGAGTCGCCGCGGCCCGCCCTAGGCGCCTCTCCGCGGCGGACCCACGGTTACTCCCCCTGCCAGCCCTCCAGCCGACGCGCTGGCCCGAACGCCCGCGCGGCGCCTGCGGAGTCCGGCGCTGCTGCCCCGGCACCGCCTGTGGGCGACGCTGAGGCGTCCCTCGGCGAGACAGACGCTGCTGGCGCGGCGACTGATGCTCCTCGCCACGCGCCACTGGTTCACGTCCATTCTCCAGGGCGCACTCAGGGGATTTCTCCACGTGTCTCTGGGGCGCGGCAGTCCTGCCCCGCGACTGCCCCCGCATCCGCTCGGGAGTCTGTTGGCGAGCCGTCGAGGGGACGAGGAGCCCGCGCTCCCAATCCCGGTTCGATGGTGCTGGAGAACTCGCCCGACCTTGAGGGGACTCGCTGTCCCCAGTACTCTCCAAATCGACAGAACGCTCCCGCGCTGGTCACTCCATCCCGAGGAGGCGCGCCGCACTCGGCACCCCCCACGACTCGGCACGAAAGCCGAACGACGACCAGGTCCACCCCGAGAGGAAACCACGGAGGCGGACGCGGAAGTCTCAACACACTGACGGCCGGAGGGCGCGGTCGCAGGGCGGCAAGGCGTGGCAATCTGTCCTCCGACGGAGGACCGCAGAACGGATTCCAGCAGGCAGCGAACAGGGCTTTAAGTGCCTCGGAACTGCAACGAACAACTGATGAGGAGGAACGGGCGGACGAAACTTATATACCAGGGGACCAGGGAGACCCCACGACTGAGACCTCCAGTGAGGAAAACATCGAAGCAAACAGGCGCGCTGGAGGACGAGAGACTGACCCAACTCCCAGATCTAGGGGACGAGGGCCCAGCCGCTTGCACAATACTCGGGCACCGCTGGACACCCATCCCCAGGCAGCCCCGCAGTTGTCCCCGGAAGAACTGGCGAATGACCCCTCCAGATTCGCCGTCATCGCCACTTGGGACGTCGCACTTCTCTGCGACAGTCGCCAACCCCCTCTCTCCCGCCGGTTACCTCCCCAAATCCGTCAACTTTTCGCGCTCACCCTTCTGACACCCCTCCTTTTCCTCGCCAAAAATCCAACCTCCATCGAGGGTTGGATCCTGTTACTTTACCTCCCGCGCCTCACACTTCGCCTACCCTCACCACGACGCCCTGACTGGCCCGCGACGGAACGACGACTTCGACAATTTGTCGCGGGCCAGTGGGACACACTGTATCAGGCAGCGGCCTCTGCTGTTACCCTGCCACCCCCTCCCCGCCACGTACCTGACACTCTCGGGAAAATATCCCGCGCCGAGGGCTTGGTACGTCGAGGCAGTTTGCGACGGGCACTGCTCGCGTTGACCTCGACCCCAGTCAGCAAGTCCACCCCCACGGTACTGGATGCGCTGAAGTCAAAACACCCCCCTCCGCTTGTCGACAGCCTCACCTGGCCACGGCTTGACGAAAATTGCAGGCCGCCGACAGTCGATTTCGCTACGTTCGCGAAGCTCCTCGCTCGCTCCGAAAATGGAGTTGGGGCAGGCCCCTCGGGGATGACCTTCGAGCACCTTCGCGACGCCTCGCTGTCCAACCCCACCGTCGCCACATACCTCCACAAGCTCGTCCAGCGGCTACTTGCGGGTAACCTGCCGCACGAGGTCAGCCAGCTCGTTACCTACTCACGCCTCCTGGCCCTTACCAAGCCGGATGGGGGTACCCGCCCCATCGCAATAGGAGAGTGTCTCCATCGGCTGGCGGCAAAAGCCGCGCTAATCTCCTCCACGCAATCCGTGCAAGATTACTTCCTACCACATCAATATGGGGTAGCCATCAGGAGCGGCGGAGAAACCATTATCCACGCCACCAGGAGTTTTACCTCGACGCACCCGAGCTCACTCATCCTTCAAGTCGACCTTTCAAACGCTTTTAACAGCGTTGACCGCACGGCCATCATCCACGCCATCAACACCTCGCCCCTGCGCCCGCTCCTCCCTTCATTCAATTCTCCTACGGAGCACCGTCGCTGCTCTACCTCGACGCCGAGTTCGACAGCCCACCCCTACTCAGTGTGCGGGGAGTTCGCCAAGGGGACCCCATGGGCCCCCTCCTCTTCGCAGCCGCTATCCACCCAGCACTCCGAACAACCGCCGCGGCCCACCCCAAGGTCCTCTGCCTCGCGTACGCCGACGACATCACTTTTGTCGGCGATCCGGACGCCTGCACCTCGGCGTTTTCCAACTTCACAGCGGCCATGGACCGCATCGGTCTCTCCCACAACCCCGCGAAATGCGCGGCGTGGTCAGCCGCGAACCCTGCCCCTGACCGCCTCCCCCCGGACATTCCTTTCAATACAGAAGGGGTCCGCGTGCTTGGCAGCTTCATAGGCACAACCGAGGGCACAGCCACCTTCCTCCGCACCCAGCTAGCCCTGCTGGCCGAACCCCTTGCCACGCTGGCCACGATGGACCCTCAGTCAGCATCCCTCCTCCTCACACGCTGCGTATCTCGGCGTATCTCATACTTAATCCGCACCACCCCCCTTGACTTCCTACCCCTGGACGTCTGGTCCGACTGGGGTAGGGAACTTTTCCATACCCTCTTGCGTGCCTGCAACCTCCAACCACCTCGAGGCGAGGTGGAGCGGGCACGCACTTGGGCTCAAGCGTCCCTCCCTCCCTCTCTTGGAGGACTGGGTCTAACCGACCCTGCAATTGAGGGATACCCAGCCTTCCTCACCAGCCTCACCCAAGCCCAAGGCCTCTTGGCTGCCCTCCCAGCTGCGTCAGACGAGCCCCTGGCTGATGCTGTCCGGCACCTCACGCCACCCTTCACCAGCCCCACCCACTTGCATACCTGGCTGGCGAAGTGTGAAACGGCGATGCCCCCACGAGCCCGGGAGCTCCTGCACTCCGAGAGGAGGGAACCCTCCGGCACCCCACTACAACATCGCCTATCCCTCGAAGTCCAGGCCATGCGGTACGCCGACCAGGTTGCAGCCTCGCGGACAATGGACCCAAACCCACACTCCGGGCACACCCAACGCCTCTTCTCCCTGGCTGGATATGGAGCAGGGGACTGGCTCCATGCCATCCCCATCTTCCCATCCCTCCGCCTCGAAGCTCCACACTTTGCCATCGCCCTGGCCTTCCGCCTCGGCCTTCCATTCCCAGCCCCCCGCACTTGCAACTGCGCCGAGGAATTCGGAATCCTCGACAGTAGGCTGCCCAACCACCTGCTCCGGTGTGGCACCGGGCACGGCCGGACTGACACCCACAATGCCCTGCGGGACGAGAGCATCCGGATGGCCCGAGATGCTGACTTTATAGTCACCAAGGAGACTACCATCTACAGCCCCGTAGATGGCCACAAGGCCGACCTCGCCCTCCGAGACCGCAGTTCCGGAGCCGTCTGGATCTGTGACGTCACCGTCACAGATCCGATCAGCAGCCGGGACCCGGACGCAAGGAAAGGACGCGGATACATGGCCCGGGAGCAAGCTGACAAGAAAATCTCCCACTACCGAAATCGGGCTCCCTACGTCGGGTTCTTCCCACTGGCAGTGGAGACATATGGCTGCCCCTGCGCCGAGGTCCCTACCTTCTTGAAGCTGCTGGCTGACACAGGGGCCAGGAGACTTTTCAATGCAGACCCCAGCTCCTACCAGGCAGCGAAACTGCTCCACCAGTTTCGCCAACGCTGGTCCGTGACGCTGCAGCGGGCACAGGCCTTGGCTTACCTGGGCAAAGTCAATGAAGCCTCCCCCGCCACCCATGCCCCAGTGGGCACCCCCGACGCCGATATGGCACCCGGGGACTGCTTTGCCATAGCAGAGCCCCTAGGGGAGACCGAGTAGATCCGAGTCCCCAAAACATGCACGTACCTCGACTTGCCGCCCCTTGCATGCCTAGCCTGTGCCAAGGTTTCCAAGCAATAAACGGACCGCTTGAGAGAGAGAGAGAGAGTGAGAAAGAGAGAGAGAGAGAGAGAGAGAGAGAGAGAGAAAGAGAGAGAGAGAGAGAGAGAGAGAGAGAGAGAGAGAGAGAGAGAGAGAGAGAGAGAGAGAGCGGGAGAGAGAGAGAGAGTGTCGAAGAGATTGGGAAAAAGTGAAGAGCGAGGTGGCACGAGCTGGCAGGCAGTGCATTGGAGTTGATTTCATAAATTGCACTGCCAGCTCGTGTGTCCATGCAAACGTACCATCCTTCCAAGAAAGAGCGAACCGAGGCATTGAGAAATACTCACCCGAAAGTAGGTGTTTTTTTCACAATTCTTAAGAATCACCTGCAGCAAACCGAGGCATTGAGAAAGACTCACCCAAAAGTGCCGACCACACGCGTGATGATTGGCATCGCATCCTCTGCTGCCAGCCTGGCAGCACCAAAGTCCGCCACCTGGCATAGCGAGATTGGAGGGACAAATCGGGATAGCGCGACTGGATTGGGGTGGCACGTGGCACGCGGCAACTTATGTATAATTGCATTTGGCTGTCAAAGCTCTTGTTCTTTCCTGTGCACTTTCTTTCGTTCTTTGGTTCTTTGGTTCTTTCCTGTGCACTTTGAGCTTGGCAGTCTCACTGTTCATGTGCATTCCTGTTAACGCCCCATACCACCCGCCCCCTCACCCCAATATTTCTCACCTTGGCCTCATAATGCTTGCACTGATGAATGTTGGACGAGATGACTGTTGTCACGCCCCAATGAACCACCTCGTTACAATGGCACACCCCAATGGATCACCTCGTTACAATGGCACACCCCAATGGATCACCTCGTTACAATGGCACACCCCAATGAATCATCTCGTCACAATGGCACACCTTAACGATTCTCACCTTGGCCTCATAATCCTTATCCAAGAGAATGTTGGACGATTTGATGTCGCGATGGATGATGCGCGGGTTGCCTGGGACAAGGGGAGGGGTTAGGGGGAGGAGTGGGGGGGGAGTTGGAGGCGGTACGGGGGGAGAGAGAGAGAGAGAGAGAGAGAGAGAGAGAGAGAGAGAGAGAGAGAGAGGAGAGGGGGGGAAGGGGGGGGGGAGAAGCAAGAGGTGCACGCAATGGCAAAAACGGAAGCGAGAGGGAAGCTATTACGAAAAGAAAGAGATCGGGCGGGAACGAAGGAGAATCGCGAGAGTGTTGGAGTAGGAGGGGAACGGGAGGACGCAAGTACAGGTGAGGGGAGATGGGGGAGAATCAAAGAGAGGGGACGTAGGCAAGAGTGGCAGCAGGAGTAGCAGCAGCAAGAGCAGTAGCAGCAGCGACACTCACATTCCTCATGCAGGTACGCCAGCCCCTTAGCAGCGCCCAGAGCAATCTTCATGCGGAAATTCCACGCCAGCAGGCGACGGTCCTCGCCTGGGGAAGAAAAAAAGGCCAGAAAAGGGAGAAAAGGGCACCAGAAAAAAAAGGAGGAAAAAAAAAGTATGGGGGGTGAGTGAAGAAGAGGAGGGAGGACAACTACAAGGCTGAGGGCAGGGGTCATTGCAGAAGAATAGAAGGATGAGAGAAGGATAAGGGGCAGGGCGCGTAAGGAGAGTGCAGCGAGGGCATGGAGTTTGCTTTCATACCTTGAAAGTTGAAACGCATCTTCCAGCGATCGATCCCTTGGGAACCGGCTCCTATACCAGCAGGTGCTGCAGCGCTGGGCATACTGTAGCCCAGGCGCGTGACAGGTACCGTAGGGTCACCATGTAACGCTGTTCGCGCACCATGTAAGGCGTCTTCCAGCGACCCATTGGGCACGAGCTCGTACACGAGTCTGCTCTTGAGTTGAGCCGACTCAAAAGTAGGTACCAGGCACGAGCAATGCACGACCCATCGGGCACGAGCTCGTACATGAGCAGCAGCCGCTGCGTGCTGGCAATGCAGTTCCCCAGGTGCGTAACCAGATGCCATAGGGTTACCAGGTAACGCACTACCACTCACCGTGCAACACGTCCTCCAGCGACCCATGAGGCACGAGCTCAGACACCAATAACCGCTGGGCACTGGCGGTGCAGTACTCCAGGTGCATGACGAGGTGCGTATGCTGCACGCAGCTGATGATATCCACCTCCGTGCACCGGACACTCCCTTTTCACTCACCATGTAAGGCGTCTTCCAGCGACCCATTGGGCACGAGCTCGTACACCAGCAGCCGCTGCGCGCTAGCAATGCAGTAGCCGAGGTGCGTGACGAGGTGCTTGTGATGCACGCGGCTGATGATGTCCACCTCCGCGCGGAACTCCCGCTCCCCCTGGTGCCCGCCCACCTTCAGCACCTTCACCGCCACTGGCATCCCGTCCGCCAGCACGCCCCTGTAAACCGGCCCGAACCCCCCTTCACCGAGCTTGTTTTCCTCTGAAAACCCGTCTGTGGCCTCGTCGAGCTCCTCATAGGGGAACCACCACTCGTCGTCCGCCTCCTCGCTCATCCTGTCTTCGTCTCCTAGAGCGACCGCTGCTCCGCCCGCGACTGCTGCTGCGCCGCCCGCGACGGCTGCGCCTGCGACTATCCCCGCGCCTAGTGCTGCGCCTGCGCCCAGTCCTGCGCTGTCCCCCGGACCAGCGCCGCCGCCAGCGTCGCCGCTTCCGTACAGGTCTTCGTCTTCCGCTTCCTCCTCCCCGCCCTCCTCCCCCTCGTCCTCCCCCCCCTCGTAGAGATCCTCCGCTTCCTCCCCTTCCCCCGCTGCCACGTCATCATCTTCGTAAAAGTCCTCTTCCCCCTCGCCAGCAGCAGGCGCGCCGTCGCCATACGCGTTATTGCCCTCCTCGCTGTCCTCATCTTCGCCAGGCCCGCCACCTGAGGCCGCCGCCGCAGCTGCTGCCGCACCGCCCGCAGCCGCGCCGGCCGCAGCCGCGGCTGCGGCCTGCCGCCCGCGCGCTCCGCGGACCAGATGCGGCTGCGCGTAGAACGGCGCCTTTTCCGCGCCTCCCACGGTTCCTGGGGCGCCGCCTCCACCGCCGCCGCGGGTGCGGCTTCGTTCGCCCTCCTCCTTTTTGGGCAAGAGGAAGAAGAAGGCGAGGAGGCCGAGGGTTACGAGGAGAAGGAGCCCAACCGCGCCGCCGACCGATATGCCTATGATCGCCCCCATCGATAGCCCCGACGCCTCGGGCGGAGGGGGGGGGAGGACGAACGGCGGAGAAGGAGGAGGAAAAGGCGGGGAAGGGGGAGGGGGAAGGATCGGGGGAGAAGGAGGTGCTGGGGGTGGACTGGGAGGGCGGGGAGGTGGCAAGAGCGGAGGGGCTGGTGGCGGGTTCGGGGGACTCAAAGGCGGCTTCGGAGGCTGTGGCGGGGGATTGGGGGAACTATTCGGGGGCTTCGGGGGCTGAGGCGGCGGGTTCGGGGGAGTCAATGGCGGCTTCGGGGGACGAGGTGGGGGATTGGGGGAACGAGGGGGGGGAGGAGTTGGAGCGGGGGGAGGGGGCAGTGGAGAGGGGGGTGGCCGAGGAGGAGGATTTCGAGGAGGCTTAGGAGGCGGATTAATAGGCGGCTTAGGAGGCGGGTTAATAGGCGGCTTAGGAGGCGGGTTAATAGGTGGCCTAGGAGGCGGGTTAATAGGCGGCTTAGGAGGCGGGTTAATAGGCGGCTTCGGAGGCGGGTTAATCGGCGGCTTCGGAGGCGGGTTAATCGGCGGCTTCGGAGGCGGGTTAACAGGCGGCTTAGGAGGCGGGTTAACCGGTGGCGGAGGGCTCTTATTGGGCGGAGGGGGAGCAGCGACAGGCGGTGAAGGGACAGGGGGCGGAGGGTTGACAGGAGGCACATTGGTTGGGGGTCGGAACAAATCCGGGGGAACCGGGATGATAGGCCCGGTAGGGCCGGTAGGGCGATTGGGTGCGGGGGGGAAGAGGAAGATGGGAGGAGAGGCGGCAACAGGACCGGCGGGACCAGTAGGCCGGTTCGCCACGGGAGGTATCGGAAAGGGGAACTGCTGCGCAGTCGCGGCGCCTGATCCGCGAAGCCCCCCTGCGTTTTCTTGACCAGCGGAGCTGGCTTGTGCGACAGCTGCGACGTCGTACGGCGTCGGTGGGTGGCGGCGAGCGGAACGATACTCTGTGACGGTGGCTTCTAACGACCGAACGGCTTCAGAGGAGGGCGTACTAGAGCTATCCACCACAGACGACTGAGACAATGATCTAAGAGGCTCGTTGCCAGAGAGATGTCCCAGTGAATGCACCTCAGCCTTAACCATGTCGACGTTGCTGACAGGCGAGTCGCGGTTGCTGGAATGCAGCACATTGGCACGGTTGCGCCTCGACAAGAAATGTCCTTCGCTGTGGAAATGAGCGTGCGCTTCAATCCTATAGTCCACGCCAATAGTAGCCTTCGGTTGCCGAGTTCGGGTGGCAGGCTTGACAGCTCCGTTATTCCCATAAGCTCTCCGCTTTCTACGGCCATTGCTTAAATAAACAGCCATTGCGCTACACTGCGAGGAAATAGATAATCTTGTCGATGCAGCTACTCTCCGCCCGTCAGCGCATTATACGTCGGGATTGAGTCGCGGAAGCTCACGTACTAAGTAACTCAACTCGATAAGCTATGTGGTACAAGCGGAAGAAACAGGAGTTGTCTAATAAACATTTACGGGAAACGGGAGCATGAAAAAAAGCACGACAGCCAAGTCACGATGGTCGTCGCCTCTCGAACTGAGCCTTTGGCTCATCATGATCGGACCTGGAAAATGTCCAAGACTCCTAGACTAGCAGAGCCATACTCGGTGGACCACTGATTCAAGAGAATCAAACCGTTGTGGCTCTCGAGGACAATCAGGAGAAATATAGGAATAATCTTGTGGAAAGGGATGGGCTGCCCTCACCTTTCTTTTCCCCGCTGTCCTCCACGCAGAGCGAATTGTGGAGCAGATGGAGGGAGGGGAAAAGGAGGGAGCGAAGCTGATTCGTGCAGAGGCAACTTGGGGACGATCCCAAGGTCGTCGGCATCATGTGACATTATTGAGGGAAGCTCTTGCAGCCACGCCGGAAACCCTGGGATTGGATGGCAGCTTTGGATGGAGCCGTCGTGCGGGGAAGGCGCAGGCTGGCCAGCAAGCGGGAAGGGGAGACTTCCTGCAGCGCGTCCAGCACAGCATGTCGTGCCTGATTACCACCCACTCGTGTAAGAGATTTTCAAGCCTTACACGTTTTACAGCGATATACAGTTCAGTATTCCCATGTACGATGAGCAGTGGGTCGTATGCTGTAACGAATTGCTTTCACGAGGCAAGTTGTGTTTTGCCACCAAGCCTCATCCCTACCGGACCGAACCGACGTCGCTCACCTTGGTTTGGATTTACAGCTGCCCCTCCAAGGGCCAGGTTGGGGGTTTGGGGGGTGCTTCTATTAGCCGCTAGGATAAGGCAGCGTGGTGCTGGGGAGATAATTTCTCTGTCCTCATTGGTCTCTTTCCTGCTGAGGTGCAGTTGACTTGTCGCATGCGGTTGCCAGCTTCTGGTTCAGCGTTTGCGCGACAACCTTGGCGACAACTTTGTGCGACGTTGAACCACCGCAAAAATCCTCAGAATCTTCAGCTGGCATGGCACAGGGGACATACCTCAAAACCCCCCCCCCCCCCCCCCCACCGAAGCCCTTGTACCAGGGCATGGCGTCTGACACGATTTCTTGATTTTAGTTTCTTATTCCACTGCCCGACCTTCAACCGAGCATACTGAGACATTAGTCGTCCGCAGTAAGTCCTCGTTCTGCTTTAGCTTAATTACATCAGCTTGAATGGCATCAGCGGGTGTGAGAACGAACGGCTACGTGATTCTTCCTCCTTGCCCCCAGAAGTGCCCAGCGTCTCCAAATTCCGCTCTCTCGTGCTTTGGCGCCATCTCCGGCGGAATTCGCGACGGCTGCTCTCGGGCCCTTATTCGCGTGTGCTCGCGATTGCCTGACGCCGATTCCGACACAGAATCGGAGTGTAACGAGGCAGTCCCTAGCGATTTATCAGAAGACCGAAGTACTTTCAGCGCTGAGCGAAGCTGGGGAAACGAGGACTTGACCGTTGAGGAGGTGGAGGGGACACATCCCGTGGAGGCGCTAGTGGATGTGAGGGCGGCTCAGCACCATTGAAAGTCTGGGAAGACGCTACGTCCGCCACTCGTTTAGACGATTAATTCATTCTTAGAATTATGTGTCACCTGTGGATGCTAAGTCTGCTTGTACAGGAAAGTGAAAGCCCTTAATTATAACACGCATATGTATAGCACTTTTTCTATTAGCGTACTTATTCTATGTCCATGGAGGCCTTCGCAGCTTCCTTCATATGTTTTTGGGCTGCACGCTTTCCAATCTTGACCTGAAGCTTCTTCTGTACTCTAAGCTGGAACTTGGCCGCTTTCTTCTTCTTAGCCACACCAGACTTGGAATCAACCTGAGGCCCAGCAACAGGTGGGAGCCAGCAACAAAGAGACATAGGAGGAAGGGCGAAAGAGAAAGTGGGAGTGGGAAGGTGGTGGGTGCGCTGGAAGAGCACGGGATTGCTGAATCTCAGCCTACCTTCATCTTCAGTGACTTCTCTTGCTTCTTCTTTTGCAGCTTTTCCTGTAGCTCCTTTTCTCCTGGAGGAGAGAGTGAGGGGAGGGAGGCAGCAGACAATTACTGGCTGAGGGAAGCAGCAAGGTACCACACCCACGGGAAGGAGCCCCCGGAAAGCTATCCCAAACTATTCATCGCAGAGCTTTCAGTAAGGCTATCAATGCATTGTTGTGACGCTCGTGTGGGGGGAGGCTGAAGCGACGGAATTTGCTCCAGGATCCGCTGATCGAAGCATTATCTGTGGATGCCTCGTTCTTACGTTGCTGATCAAACTCGAGTTGCCGCTTTCGCGTCTCTCTCGATTTCTTGGCCATCTGATTTCTCGACAAGCTGAAAGGACGACGCGGGAACGTTCTCTACGAGGTACTCGCGAGTGAATGACCGACACCAGGGAAGAACAGCATAAGCTGGGTTTCGAGGTTCTAGGCTGAGGGTTCGGGCTGAGGGTTGAGTCCAGCTGCGAAGTCAGTCAGTGTCTGCTGTACCCGCTCCGTTACACTGCAGTGCCTGTACAAACCTGATTGCGGCGGCACACAACCATACACAACTCGTGCCCTTGGCGGAACAATACAATGTGTACGCGCTAGGAAAACCGCGCGAAAACACATTAGAAGAGACCTGGGTGTACAAACGTGAAATGTGGAAAAACCTTGCCCAGGGTGGAGCTTGCCCCCTCTGGGGAGAAACGCGGCCATGCAAAGCGTTTCATCTCGAGAAACGGACATAATTTTACCACCTGCCCGTTATCACGTAACTCCTATCAGAAAGCGTTTCATCTCGGCAGTCCTCGGGAAGGGATAAGGTTTTACTGTATCAGCTGCCCCCACGCTGTTCTCGCACGTATCTCCATCTCAGCGGGCAACCGAACCGAACGACGCTGGTGCGAAATTCCAACGGGAATGTTCGTATCGGACCAGCACTCCCATCCACGTTCACGTTTCAGGTGTTACGCAACAGATGAGAAGTGATACGAGATTTTATCAACTTTCACGCGCATTTGTCCAGTCCCAGAGCGCCCAAATCACACAATGCAATTTTCAACCCGAAACACATCGCCGCCAAAACACAGCTGTGCAAGCTGTGGAAGCGCGCGTAGATAGCAACACCACTGGAAGCAAGCAGAGAGATCACGCGGAGTGATTCTGGGCACCACGCCATGCCATGCCACTCTGCTCCTTGTCCTTTTCCTTTCCTTCGTCTCCTCGCCTCTACCTTCGGCTTCCCCTCCTCGCCCCTTTCCCATACCCTCCTCCGCCTGCTCTCCTCCCCGGTGTGAGGGGAAGGAAGCAAGTCAAGACCATGACCAAGTGCAGACCTGCGAAAGTGGGACGTGGACATTGTCTTCCACCTCGGGATTCCGTGCAATGCGGTGCGTCACGCTTCCGGAACGTTAACGAACTGTCACAGTTCGGTGCAGTGGTCATGCCGTGTGATGCTGTGTCCGAAACAAAACAAAGCCACCGACCACCAATCCCAAGGGAGAAGTCTAAAAAACAAGTTGCTTTCAGGTCGAGATTCGAGACCAAGCGGGTTTCCACGTGGCGCAGAATTTTCCAACTTTTGTCATTACACTAGTTGCTAGTAGTGGCTTCCCCTGATCGTAGTTGCATACAGCAGACGCACTTCTAGCCATGGCACTAACTCCTTCCGCCGACACGGCCGCATCCGAACAATGCGGCGCGGCGGCGCCATCATTTCACCACGCCTGGGCCCGTGGATCGCGGCGGCGATTCTCCTGCTAGCATGCGAACCCCCCTGCCAGTGCGAGTCGGAAGCGGCGAAACTTTCGCTTGAGCCCTTGGCGCCGAGGAAAGACTCTTCCGGCAAGCAGACTGGGTCAGGACCTAGTCGTACTACTAGTAGTAGTACTAGCACTAGTACTAGCAGCACTAGTGCTAGTACTACTAATTCTATAGGAGCTACCTTAAGTACTAACCGACTTAGTGGGCCTACGCGGCCTATCCCTCTCCGCCCGCTCACGTGGCGGAATGAGAATCTCGCGGCTCCCGATCCGCTCCTGTCGCTGCCACGTGGGCAAAGGTTTCCTGAGCGAACGGCTCGACTGCGCCACGTGGCGTCCGCCGGACCCCGCGATTGGACATCCAGGGGAATGATCGGCGCGCGGCGGGCGCAATGGCGGGGGAAAGAGAGCGCGCTTCGGACGGATCGGGACGGACCGGAAGAGAAGAGGGAGGACGGAGATGTGCTCACCACTGGCAGGGAGGAAGAGCTAGTACGATCCTTGTCTCAAGCTGCGGCGGTCCTTGACGACATAGACAGTGCTTCTGCTAGTAGAGCTACTGCTGCTAGTGGCGGTAGTACCGGTGGAGGTAGATTGCTCAGCACCCAAACTTTGGATCTGTCAAAGCTCCGGAGGGGCATCGCGCGCCCCATTCCCGATAGTAGCAGCAGCGGTACTAACGGCAGCAGTGGCTCTGTTTCACCCTTCTCCACGTCATCCATTTCCACGTCAGCATCTACTGCATCGTCCACGTCGTTACCCGCCGCCACGTCATCAACCATGTCTCTGCCTACCCCCATCGGCATCACTCCGCATTGGAGCGCCTATTGTACGGACAGATGCGGTGTCATGTGGAAACCGATACGAGTGTACGTGGTGTGGTACGGTTACTTCTCTGAGCCCCAGAAGCAGCTCGTTCGTACGCTGACTGGGTCGTTCAGTCCGGATGACAATCCTGCCGTTACAGTTCCCCTCTGGTGGAACATCAACCGGCTGTACTATGACCAGGAGGGGCGTTTCATCTCGCGCAATGTAACGTGGGCCAAGGAGAAAGATGACACGGGGTATTCCCGAGGGAAGTCTCTGTGGCTGACTGACGTGGAAGCGGTGATTGCCACGGCCATCGCTACCAGCGAGCTGCCTTATGACGAGGATGGAGTGTACTTCGTGTTATCAGACCAATACGTCAACCAGGTGAGTGGAATAGCTTGTTCTAACAAGTCAGCCTCTAGGTCCCGCGCTCTCTCCCCTTGTGCGCCCCCGCCGCCCCCTCTCCCCTTGTGCGCCCCCGCCCCCTCTCCCCTTGTGCACCCCCTCCCCCTTCATATTCTCCGTTCTCCCTTTGAGGCCTCTTAATATGCAGATTCCTCCTCGCCCTCACACGCATGCCCCGCACACTCATTCCCCTCACACGCATTGCCCCGCACACTCATTCCCCTCACACGCATGCCCCGCACACTCATTCCCCTCACACGCATTGCCCCGCACACTCATTCCCCTCACACGCATTGTCCCGCACACTCATTCCCCTCACATTATTGCCCCGCACACTCATTCCCCTCACACGCATTGCCCCGCACTCTCATTCCCCTCACACGCATTGCCCCGCACACTCATTCCCCTCACACGCATTGCCCCGCACACTCATTCCCCTCACACGCATTGCCCCTCACACTCCTCCCCCCTCACCCACACACCCGCTGTGGCAGCTATGGTCGGCAACTGGCAAGTTCTGCACTGCCTTGGGCAGGTGGCACTTCCTTCCATATCTCTCATTTTGCACAGCACCCCTCCCCCCACCGCCTCCCCACCCCACTCCACCCGCGCCCGCCTTCCAGCAATGGTCGTCCACCGACAAGTTCTGTGTGGCCTTCTGCGGGTGGCGCTTCCCACCCTCAACCGGTGCATTCCTTACCTCTCACCCCCCTCCCTCTCACCCCCCTCCCTCTCATCCCCCTCCCTCTCACCCCCCTCCCTCTCACCCCCCTCCCTCTCATCCCCCTCCCTCTCACCCCCCTCCCTCTCACCCCCCTCCCTCTCACCCCCCTCCCTCTCATCCCCCTCCCTCTCATCCCCCTCCCTCTCATCCCCCTCCCACTCACCCCCCTCCCTCTCACCCCCCTCCCTCTCACCCCCCTCCCTCTCACCCCCCTCCCTCTCATCCCCCTCCCTCTCACCCCCCTCCCTCTCACCCCCCTCCCTCTCATCCCCCTCCCTCTCACCCCCCTCCCCTCTCACCCCTCTCCCCACCCGCACGCCCCTTCCAGCAATGGTCGTCCACCGACAAGTTTTGTGTGTCCTTCTGCGGGTGGCACTACTTCGGCTCTGCGCCGTCCCGAGGCGACTTCATCTACTCCTGGGTGGGGCGCGCCGACAAACTGGTACGTGCGCGTGCGGGCTGCTGCGGGTATGTGGTGGGAGGATGTTGGGGGTATGCTGATGAAGGCTTTTACAGCCGAAACTAGTTCATCCTGGTTTTAATCAAACCTACTGCCCGTTCTCTTAAGCTCGAGCTCAAACTCGGAACCGCTGCCCCGCAACGCAGTGGCAGTCTGAGACGATTTTTGAGGCGCCTCAAAAAGCGCTGTGGCAGTCTGAGGAGGGCTGCCACTGCGCCAACCACAATGGTTAATCCCGCAGCTGACGTGGCAGCCAAAGTGCCCAACAAGGACCCCGGGATGGACGTGCTGCTGTCCGTGTACGCCAATGAGGTGCTTCTTGAGTCGGCTAAATAATCACCCTCAGCAGCATGGACGGGCTGCTCTCCGTGTTCGACGCCCACGAGCTCGCAGAGGTGTCCTCAACCCCTCTTCCTCTTGCCTCTCCACTTATTCCCCTCCCCAGTGCCCCACGTCGTGCATAGCAGCTGATGTGCGCACGGCAGCCAAAGCACCCAACAAGGACCCCGGGATGGACGGGCTGCTGTCGGTGTACGCGCATGAGCTCGCAGAGGCCGCCTCATCCCCGTTTGTGTCCACATGGTTCGACAATGACGGCGAGGAGAACGCCGACAAGTGCGCCTGGAAGTGAGTTGCTGCAGTAGAGTAGAGTTCTGGGGCGCCTCCAGCCCCTTCGTGTCGACGTGATTCTATGGGGATGGGGAGGAAAACGCCGACAAGTGCGCCTGGAGGTGAGTCAGGGGGGTGTGGCGGCCGCTGCCGGTGTTGGCGCACAAGCTCGCCGAGGCCGCCTCATCCCCGTTTGTGTCCACGTGGCTCGACAATGATGGCGAGGAGAACACGGAGAAGTGCGCGTGGCGGTGAGTCACGAGGATGGGAGGAAGTGGCCACGTACAGCACAATGTGCCCAGCCTGTTAGCTACTTGTTTGGGTTATGGTACTTGTGCTAAGGTGATGGGCTATGGTACTTGTGCTACGGTGATGGGCTATGGTATGTGTGTATGTGTGATAAGCCCATAGTAATCAGCCTATTACCTCCAGTATCCAGGATCCTGTGTCAGCCTCCTGTATGCCAGGTTCTCCTCACCGATCTGCCCCTTGATCCCCCACTGCCCGCACCTTCTCATCCCCCTCTCCCCTCCTTTCCCCCCCTTTCCCCTCCTTTTCCCTCCCTTCCCTCCCTTCCCTCCCTTCCCTCCCTTCCCTCCCTTTCGACCCCCCAGGTTCGCCCCAGTCCTCACAGACTCTTCAGGAGCCAAGTACAATCTCGTGGGGGTGGGCGGCTCCAAGTTCTACATCCAGCAGAACTGGGACCTCGTCTCTGGCTCCTGCCTGCTCACCATGCCCTATCCCGCTTCCCCTCCTCCTCCCCCATCCCCACCCTCCCCACCCTCCCCACCTTCCCCTCCTCCCTCGCCTCCCTCCCCCCCTCCGCCGCCCTCTCCCCCTCCCCATCCCCCGTCCCCCCCTCCGTCTCCCCCCCCACCAAGACCCCCCCCTCCATCTCCTCCCCCGCCTTCCCCCCCTCCTCCATCTCCCCCTCCTCCCTCTCCACCGCCTTCCCCTCCCTCCCCCCTCCTCCCCCTTCCCCCCCACCGTCCCCACCTTTCCCCCCGCCGCCACCATCCCCCCCACCCCCTCGGCCACAGCCCCCAAAGCCGCAGCGGCCTAAGAGCCTGGGAGAGTTTGTCCAGTGGCTGGTGAAACGACTCCGACCAAGTGGCTGATCGCAGTTTGAGGCGATTCAACACTAGTCCCCCCAGCCCCCCAGCCTTCAACACTAGCCCCCCGAGCCCCCTAGCCCCCCTCGGGCTAAGAGTATTGGGGAGTTCGTTCAGTGGCTGGTGAAAAGGCTGCGTCCTAATGGCTGATCTCAGTGCCTCGTTGACCCGTATGATGTGAATAAATACACTTCAATGCACACATTTCATATACGGTAATTTTATTGTACATAATAACAATTCGCTGTAACAACACCTGGGCGGGAGGACCACAGGCCCTGCATCTGCAGCACGTATGCATGGGAGCAGGAGCAGGAAGGAGCAGCACCACGCAGAGAAGCAAAGGAGTGAGTCAACGCGGAGCCGGTGACTTGCACAGGCACACAGGCGCAAAAAGGTCGACATGACAAGTCGACAAGCCAACGCGGCCAACGCGGCCAACGCGGCCAACACAGCCAACACAGCCAACCAGGCGAACAAAGCCAACTGGTGTGCTGACACGCCACGGCACAGCGACAGCGGCCATGCCAAGCAAGTCGCTCAGCGCTTGCCTCCCCCCCGTCGTATCCTCCTCCATATCTTCTCCAGATTCGATTGCAGTGGCGGCGGGACCGGTTTCGGCGGAGGGGAGGGGGACTTGGGTGGGGGAGGGGGGGGAGGCGGCGAGGGGTACGGGAGAGTGGTGGCGCAGGTGCCAGTGGTGAGGTCCCAGTTCTGCTGGATGAGGAACTTGGACCCGTTGACCCCCACCATGTTGTACCTGGCTCCTGACGGGTCCGTGAGAATGGGAGAGAACTCCCAGGAACATTTATCCGCGTTCTCCTGGCCACTCCTGTCGTACCACGTGGACACGAAGGGGCTCGAAGTGGCTTCGGCAAGCTCGTGGGCGAAGACTGACAGCAGCCCATCTATTCCTGCGTCCTGATTGGGTGGCGCTGCCAGGTTGGCGCGGAGGGAGCGTGTGATGCAGGAAGTGGGGCACTTGGCCCTGGCGTTCCCGACCCAGGAGTACACGAAGCTGCCGAAGCTGGAGGCTCGGCTGTACCAGTGCCAGCCGCAGAAGCTCGAGCAGAAGGCTGCTGAGTTGGCGCCGGGGCTGGTCCAAACTTGCGACACAGTCTCATCTGATACTACGAAGTACACTCCATCCTCGTTATACGGCAGCTTCGCGGAGGAGATGGCGTTGGCGATCAGGTTCCTGACGTCACCATCAGACAGGGTCTTGCCCTTAGAGTAGTCCCTGTCCTCTATCTCGCCGCCCCATGTAACCGACTCAGAGATGTAGTTACCACTGGAGTCGTAGTACAGTCTGTTGATGTTCCACCAGAGGGGCACTGCGCGCACAGGGGCGGATGGGGGAAAGCGGATCAGGGGATTGGGATAGTGAATTGGAGGAAAGCATGCAAAAGGAAGGGGGGAGAAGGGCACAGGGAGAAGAGGGTGAGGGGGGGAGGAGTGGGGAGGAGGGGGGAGGAGGGGAAGGGGCGAAATGATTTGACTAGTGCGAACCATCTCACAGTGAATCACAACACATTACTAGCACCCCGAATCCCTGTGACTGTAACAACCACTGTTACACTGTACCTGTTACCGAAGGCTCGGCACTCGGGCTGAGCGAGGCAGTCAGCGTGCGAACCGCCGCTTTCTGCGGTTCGGAGAACGCGCCGTACCACACGGCGTACACGCTGATTGGCCGATCCATCACCCCGCACGCGCGCCCCATGCAATTCGCGCCCCAGTGCGGCAGGATCCCGATCGGCCCGCTCTTCCGCCTCGCCCCCGCCACCACCTTTCTGCTCCCACCCTTCGACCCGCTGTCCGCCAACGGACCGATCCTCGCGGCGAGAGCGTGGCTGGCGGCGGCAGGAGGAGGGGCTGACGGCTCCATGGCGCCTTGCGGCTCTCTGCGGGGAGGATGGGATGGGATGGGATGGGATGGGATGGGATGGGCGGTAGGCGCAAGGGGTAGCGATGAGATTGGTTACGGCCATGTAGGGCAGTTGGATGCCAGGCCTACGAGCCGCGTATGTGAGAATCAGGCCTACGAGCCCTCCCATAGTACTGGAATTCATGCATTCACGACCGCGTACCTAAGAATCGCGGCGATGCCGCGCCGATTAGCCGCGGTCGTGCTGCCAGGAGTCGTGACGCCATTGCCAGGAGTCGTCACAGTCGTCACACTCGCCACCTTGGGATTACCGACGGGTTCCTGCTCTCGCTGGCGGCGGATCAGCGATCGGGATACCCGCGTGCGACTGCCATGCGACGCCTGCGACTCTTCGCGACTGGCTGCGATCGGTCGCAGGAACACGGGCCCATCATTCCCAGCTAGCGCCCTGGTGCGAGCGTACGCCGAAGCGAACCGCTCTCTAAGCGGAGGTGTTCGATTTCGATCCCTGCGGGCCAGCGCATGGCTCAATCGTTGGCCGGCGGTCAGCGGAACGCGCGAGGCGACAAGAAGCGACGCGAGGAGCAGCCATGTCGATAAATTGGAATGCAGAGACGCGGAAATTGGGCGGCGAGTGGCACATTTGCGGCATGGAGCCACCATGGCTGCAGTCGCAGGGCGTTCTACGAAAGCATTTCGACTTCAATTGGGAAGATATAGGAGCGCAGCGCAATGAACACACGCGCTTCTACTTCCGAAGCTGGGAGGACCAAGAAACTCTGCTTCCGAAGCTGGAAGGACTAAGAAGCCCTGCTCCCGAAGCCGGGACGACCAGGGCAATGCTGGAAATTAGGGGGTGTCCGAAGTAAAGAATTAGTGACGTCCCAAGACGTTACAAAAAGTACAGTACGGTAAGTTAAGATTTTTAAACCGTTGGATAGAACGATCTCTCGGTTCCGCGACGTCCCGAACCCTACGCCCTACTTCGGACGTCCCCTTCGACCTCCAAGCCTCATTCGGTACAGACAGGGGCGTGCCTTCAATTCGATGCCTCAGGCCAACCAGGCGAATGTGTGGCTGCCGTTCCTCAGTTTGTTTGCCACGAGCCGCTGTCTGCCAACCAGCTGGCGAAAAGAGCAATTTTTCTTAACGTGGAGAAATAAAAGGTTATTTCTCAGCTGATTCAATTTTTTTCTATAGTGATTATTTCTGATTCCTTCTTCCTAACGGATTACTTTTCGAGTGTTTCCTGATATTACGGGTTACCTGTTTTTGATTCCTTACGATGCACACTTGTAGTAGGAGTTCTGTTCGTAGAGGTGCATTACCCGTTCCTACCCTCCCCTCTACTTTCCCCAACTTTTAACACTAAGCAAAGAGAGGGTAGTATGGGAGGTTTTTTTCTCTTCCAACGGGAAAGACATAATATGTGCGAGAAACAGTCCCTGGGGGCTGGAGGGCTTATACTTAGCCGCGGTTCGGGCTTCTACCACGCGTACACTTCTTGCAAAATAACGTACATAACCATTTCAGAACGCTCTGGAAACAATTTTACTCAGAGGGCATCTCACCCAACCGCAATCAAACGTGTGCGCGGGGGCACGCTCTTAAGGCCATTTGTCGTCAACGAATCTGTATGCTGACGGGTAATTTTCCGCGATTCCGTCCGCTAACAGGTATTTTTGGGGTCGATTCTGTGACCTAACGGAATACCCTAGGCTTAGCGAGAGCCCTGGTGGTTGGTGGCTCGGGGGAGGGGGAAGCCGGTTCGGGACGGGACCTGGCAGGGAGAGGTGGGAGAAGGGAGGTCAAACCACAGCGAATGGGGCTGGTCTCTAGTCACTACTGTACAGTGTACAGAAGTCATCTCGTCTTGTCACGGAAGCTGACCAAGGGGGGGGGGGGGGGGGGGGGTCCATGTCTTGGTAAAAACTGCCTGGCGCGCGCGGAAGGGTGGTTACGCGTGAAGAAGACAAGCAAGGCTCCAAGGGTTGAGATTTGCCTCTCCCACAGCCAATAGGCATCTACAAACGAAGCTCGTCAAAGTCGCACAAGGTTTAAAGATGTCGGAAATTCAATCGCATAAGTATTTCGCATGCTCTCGCCAGGGGCAAATTAGGCTTTCGCACGAGCAGACGACGAAAAGGGTGGGTATTTGTGGGGGCGTCTTGGGTGGCGGTGTTTGTTTCTATTGTGCGACTCTTGTAATGAACGTTGTAGAGTGACTCAAACGGATCTCCCACTGCCCGTATATGGGAGATTTTGGGGAGCGATTTTTATTGGGTGCCGAGCTGAGCTGCGATAAGGGTGGGCGTCGTCTGTAATGCGGTTCGTGGATAACATCGATTCTCGTCAGTTGATCTGGCGCCAGATACGGAACCAGCGGGTGAGATGTGGGTGTGTGGTGGGGAAATGGTCGGTGGCTTCGCTCGCATTGGCTGGCTGGTAGCTGGCAATCTGTTTGCATCCGATACAGTGCGTACGATAAGACGAGTGGTGTTTGGTCTTTTCTCGATATTGAGGAACATCAGTCACAAGATAACACATCGATTATGCGGCGCTTCTGATTTAACTTCACTAAAACAAATTTGTGGAGCCTCTAGACTAGGAGCACCAGTTAACGAGAAAGGGAAATAGATTCAGTCGTCTTATGATGAATGAGGCTCACAAAACCTGCCGGCCATAACTAGACCTGTTCAAAGCGGATCTCTCCCCGCCGAGGATACTCTGCACGAAGACAAACTTCTCCCATCACTCCCCCCCAACACAACACTTCTCTGCCGCCCCAGCACTTAAGCAATCGAACAGCAGCTTTGCCCCCTATGTCCAATCGCGGTATAATCCACGGTGGCGAAAGCAGCAGCTGCAGCAGCAGCAGCAGCCCTGGCTGGCAGCTTCAATGCCTGGCTTTGCACCAATCTTGGTTGGTTGCAGCTGCTCCTTCAAGCAGATCCCAATGTTGTCTTCCCCGCTTGTCAAGCCGTGACTCGGAGTTGATCATTTTTGTACTGTACTACTCCAGCCTGGACTGAGTCCAGTCCTGCTCACTTCCTTGGTACGATCAGCCGTTCTACGAGTGGTCTAGTGGCCTAGACTGCTGAATTGTCGTTCCCCGCTTTGCTACTCCATCGCTACTAGCAGCAGTAGTCCCTCTCGTAACCTGCCGTCGAGAGAATTACTCGTGGCCATCGCAATGGCGGCGCATTGGCCTGCCGCTCTCGTTCTGCTGCTAGCCCTGGTCGTCGCTGACGTCACGGCCACCTCATCTGACGCCAATCCAGCGATGCTCGATGTCTTTCCGCCGATTTCCCCTACCGTTCCCGCCGCACGGGATGCCGCCTTGACCGCCGCCACCATCGGCCGTAAGGGCGGCAGCGGCATTGGCGGGGGAAACGACGCCCCATGGCCATACGCGTGGGGACGCGATTGGAGCAACGGTAACTTATCATTGAGCGATGCCGGTTCCAACAGCGCAAGCGACGCGGTAGTGACGAGCGAGTTCGACGCCATGGCGTGCAGCGCGGCCGGCTTGCTTCACCGCGCCCCTGCCGGTAACACGGCGGCCGGCAAGACCGATCTTCCCTCTGCTGCTGCCGCTGGCACCGCTGGCGCCGCTGGCGGTCCGCTTGGCGGCAAGGGCGAGGGGAATGCGGCGGAGAAGGACCATTCGACGAAGCTGCAGTGGGACGTGTACAGCATCAGCGGGCTCGTTCTCACCGCATGTGTAAGCCACTAACGCGTATGAGCCAGAATACCACTTCACCTCTGAACGAACCCAAAGGACTCTTGCTCTACATTCCATCCACCGATTGCCCTCCCCCCCTCGCCCCCCTTCCCCATCCCCCATCCCTCCCGCATCCCGCATCCTGCATCCCCCATCCCGCATCCCCCATCCCCCATCCCGCATCCCCCATCCCCCATCTCGCATCCCCCATCCCCCATCTCGCATCAGCACCCCCCTCGTGTCCTCCCCCGATTCTCATCTAGCCCCCGCCGCGTCTTCCCCCTATCCAGTTCCCTTATCCTTTCCTCCTGCCCTGCCCCCTATCCCTTCCCCCAGTGCGCGCTGCTGGCGAACGCGGCGGGGATCGGCGGGGGGCCGTTCTACATGCCGCTGTTCAACTCCTTCCTGGGCTTCACCGCCAACAGCGCCACGGGCCTCTCGCACACCATGGTCGCCTCCAGGTGCGCTACAGTCACACCATGGTCGCAAACAGATGCGCTACAGTCACACCATGGTCGCAAACAGATGCGCTACAGTCACACCATGGTCGCAAACAGATGCGCTATAGTCAGACCATGGTCACCTCCAGGTTCGCTATTCACACCATGGTCGCCTCCAGGTGCGCTATAGTCACACCATGGTCGCCTCCAGCTGCGCTATATTCACATACTACGTCTGTAGTCGCAGCATGCACTACATTCACACGCAATGCGCGTGCATCTCACAGCGGCATGGCCGGCACCTTGTGTGGTGTGGCGTGGTGTGGTGTGGTGTCGCACCACCAAAGCACAGGCAGGCAGCAGGCAGCTGGCAGCTGCCTCTCACCCGCCAGTACACCTCCTTCTAATTCTAACGCCTTTTGAGTCGACTCAAAAGCTAATTCTAACGCCCGCCCTCACTCCCGCTCTGCTGCTCTCCCCACCCCCCCCGCCCAACAGCGGCATCGCCAGCACGTTCTACGGGCTGATCCAGAGCAGTCCGCTGGACCCGTCGCAGCCGCTGATCGACGTGCGCCTGGCGCTCACCTTCACCCCCGCGCTGCTCCTGGGCGTCAGCTGCGGTGTGCTGCTCAACCCGCTGCTGCCGCCCTGGCTGCAGGTATGCTCGTGATGCTGTTCCTGGCTGCAGGTATGCTCGTGATGCTGTTCCTGCCTGCAGGTATGCTCGTGATGCTGTTCCTGCCTGCAGGTATGCTCGTGATGCTGTTCCTGCCTGCAGGTATGCTCGTGATGCTTTTCCTGCCTGCATGTCCTGCTGAGGCTCCGGTTACTGTTCAAGGGGTTCAACACCAACTGCTCTCGTGAATCGCGTCAAGTCACCCGCCCACTGTGACTCTGTCCGTCACACCCCCTGTTCCCCTCCCCTCCCCTCCCCTGGCCCTCAGACGTCCCTGCTGGCGATCCTGCTGGGGTACGTGGCGCGGGAGACAGGCATCAAGGCCAGCAAGGCGTGGGAGAAGGAGAGCAAAGCCGCCACTGCCAGGCACCACCAGCAGCAGCAGGAACCTTCCTCCACCTCCTCTTCCTCCTCTTCCTCCTCTATCAACGAGCCTCTGCTCTCCCAGTCAGCCGCAGCAGCACCTACCTCCTCCTCCTCCTCCTCCTCCCCTCTCTCCCACATCCCTTCCAAGCGCCGCTGGCTGGACCCCTCCAGCGGATCTGGGCGGCTGACTGACTTCGTGGCCCACACTGCCGCCCAGCTGCTGCCACTCGTGGGGCTTGGCGGTATGTACTGTGGTGTGGTTTGGACGGCATGGGATATGACCAGCACTCGTGCCATGGGTATTGCCTGCATGCCCAGTCTACCCGCTCTTCTTCCAAACCCCCCACTAACTAGTGTTATGGCTGGCAAGAATGCCTCTTGAACGCTCCCTCCCCGCCTCCCCCTCCCCCTTTCTCCCCCCCACCAGTGCTATGGGTGGCGATGATGGCTCTTGAGCGCGGGCTGGCCGGCACCACGCGTTGCAGCCGCCCGTTCTTCCTCTACTGGGCGGCACAGACACTGCTGTGCCTGGCTGCCACTGCTGCCATGGTGGCGTACCAGGTAACGCCTGCTGCCATGGTGGCGTACCAGGTAACGCCTGCTGCCATGGTGGCGTACCAGGTAACGCCTGCTGCCATGGTGGCGTACCAGGTAATGCTTGCTGCCATGGTGGCGCACCAGGTAACACTCATGCCCCAGGACTGTATTACGCATGTCAGCCCTTTTCTGGACCGCACAGATGACGTTGTCCCCCAGGACTCTAGGCTTCACGGGACACTAGGCTTCACGGGACACTAGGCTTCACGGGACACTAGGCTTCACGGGACACTATGCTCCCACCTAAAAGACAATTCCTTCTCTCACCTCTCACCTCTCACCTCTCACCTCTCACCTCTCACCTCTCACCTCTCACCTCTCACCTCTCTCCCTTCTTCCCCCTTCCCTGCGTCTCCCAGGTGCGTGCAGCCTCCGCCAACCCGGATGCGGAGGGGGCGTCAGCACTGTCGCGGGTGCTCATGGCTGGGCAGCAAGAGGAGGACGGGGCAGCTGATGGCGAAGTCATGGAGGCGAGGAAGAACCGGGCTGCCCGGAAGATATTCAAGGTTGGGCGGAGAGTTACCCCTGCGCCCCTGATTTGTTCTTGGAATGCCAGTCATCCATCCTGCTCGTGCTGTTCTTAAAGCCCACTTGGGTGCCAACCTTTCTCCTTCCTGCGTACAATGCTCCTTCCTTATGTGGCGTCTCCCATCTCTTGATGTGCCGGCAGGTGGTGGGCGTGATGGTGGTGGCGGGAGTGATGGCGGGCGTGCTGGGCATCGGAGGGGCTCCTCTCTTCAACCCCTTCATGCTCTCTCTTGGCATTCCGCCCCAGGTGCTTTCCCCTTCTCCGCACTATTGCCGCCACTGGTCTTGCTTGCTGTATTATTATTGCTCAAGGTGATGCCGCTGCACCTTGCTTCATTCTCTTCGCTATGCGAGGCGCCTCAAGAGATTGCCTGCCACACCTTGCTCTTTCTTTACTTCTCTCTACTGCCACACTGGCTCAACCTGGCCCAGACTGCCTCAATCAGCAGATTCTCTTGTCTTGCATGCTCCTTCCTTCTGCTCGCCCCACCCCCCTCCAGATCACAGCAACCACCTCAGTGATGATGGTGCTGTTCGGCAGCAGCAGCGTGTCGCTCTCCTTCCTCTTCCTCGGCCGCCTCAACCGCGCCTATGCAGCCGTCTTCGCCCCGACCGCCTTTGTGGCCTCACTGCTGGGCGTGACACTGGTGGGCGGCATAGTGAAGCGCACAGGCCGGGCATCCATCATCATCTTCATCCTCACGGGGATCATCGCTGTGGGGGCGGCGCTGACGGTGGCGCTGGGCACGCCGAGGATTGTGGACGATGTAATTCACGGCCGGAACCTCTGGTTCCATCAGCTCTGCCCCGCCAAGCGCTGCTGAGGAGTAGAGCGCACACACAGTACGGTAGCGCATTGGTTCGATAGATATATCTCTCCATGTTGCCCTTGGGACGCTGCACACTGAGAAACATTGCTGTCGGGTACGCTAGTTTGGGGAAGAAAGTGTTGCACTTGCATGCCAATCCACTGTATGCTGTTGGCTGCTGCCAGCAACTCACCTCAAATTAGTATTTTCTGGTGTGGGTGTAGCATCCGTATTGACCACTACCTTTGGCATTCCCATAAGCCTTCAGAATGTAAGACCGCCAAGCCCAGCCATGCCCTGCAATGGCCAGCTGGTTTCATCAAAGCATGATTGATTGCATTGCAGCATGCGTGTTCATTACCTGCTCAGGAGAGCATTGCCACATGCACCCAAGGAAGTACGCTTAGAGAAAAAAGAACGCATGCACAGAGATAGTTTGTGTTCTGGAGGCCCGCTGTCAAGGAATAGGACCTGCACTGCACATTCATTGTTGCTTTGGTCAGTACAGCAGCCAGGGAAAAATCTCTACTATTGGAGGTTATTCCCCACGAAATGGGTGTGTGATGGCAGCACCATACATCCATCACCATGGTCACCATGGCCACCATGGTCATCCATCCCTTTGTCATCACCATGTTTTCGATCAACCCCAATCTCCCGTTGCCATCATCCCACCTCCATCATTGTCACCACATGATCGACTGTTGCGACACAGAGGTTGCACGGGCCACAAGAGACGACGTTTGCCGCCCGTGCAGGTAGGTGGAGAGGTCGATTGGCAGAAGCAGGTGGCCGTCGAAGATCATGTTCACTCCGGGGTACGCCGGGCGGCAGAGATCGTCTTCTTCCTCCTCTGATGTGAAGCTAGGATCACGATTTGATTGCGCGTCAGGATCCTGCGGATCGTCTTGTCTCGCTGCGAAGCTGTGCCGGGGAAGGAAGGGAAGGCGGGGAAGAAGGGATGTCAGGTGTGAGGGAGGGTGTGAGGGAGGGTGTGAGGGAAGGGGAAGAGGGAGCGAAAATCGGAAGATAGGATAGAGATGGAGGTGGAGAAGGCAGAGATGGTTACCCCTCTCCTCTCACACGTACCTGGGCGCCTGGTTCTCAGGCAGGAACCAGAACTCTGAGAAGTTTCGACTCAGCCGGTGCTTGTGCCCCCTCCTCCCTCTCCCCTCCCCCTTCTCTGCATCCACCGCTGCCACCGCTGCAGCAATCGCACTCCCCATCTCCCCCCCTCTCTTCCCTCTCCCCCGCCCTACACCCCTCTCCCCCGCACCCCTCCCAGACGGCGACGGCGGCACATGCCTCACAGTCCTCCTGGGCAGTAGCACGGAGAAGGGCGAATCGGCAGCAGCGGAGGCGGCAAACGAAGCGGACCAGCGGCGAGAGGTGGACCTTAGGAGCGCCACATTACCGGTGTAGACCGCCCGGGACACGGGGCCGTGCTGGCGGTAGTCACAGATGAATTCCCGGAGGGCGGAGCGCAGGGCGAGCGTGGAGACACGCTGCGAGGCGAGCTGCGCCGGGGTGAGCATGTTCTGGGCGACGATGGTTTCGCACACCTGGCAGCAGAGGCGCGTGTCGAAGAGCGGGATGCCGTACTCTATGCTGTGCGCCACCCACTGCCCCCTGCGCCCCTTGCCTTGGCTGGTTTCCCCGCTCCCTGCTCCACCAGAAACATCTATTCTCAAACCCCCACCACCGCCAGTGCCAGCAGCACCACCCTCTTCCCGACCCTCCTCCTCCTCCTCCTCCTCCCCTGCCTCTGTTCGTATGACCCTCACGAACCCCACTGCGTCCAGCGCAAGCACCTCCGCTGCGCGCCTTGCTGCCGCCACTATTGGCGACTCCTCCTCCCACTGCAGCAATGCTCCCTGCTGCCCTACCGCTCCCTGCTGCCCTGCTGCTCCGTGCTGCCCTGCTCCCTGCTCTACTGCCTGCACGCTCGCACCCTCTGCTGCAACCCCTCCTTGACCTCCTGACTCCCTCTCCACCACATCCCCTTCCCCCCCACCACTCGCCAGCCTCGACCGTCCCAGCGATCTCCCCCCCTGCTGCTGCTGCGTCGCCCCATCCCCTGCTGTCCTCTCCCCTGCGACCCCCTTCTCTGCCGCACATGCCTCGCCAGCATCACCCACGGACCGAGGCCGCGGGGGGAGAGGGAGCGCAATGGTGGCGACATCCGGCTGCCCCTCCTCGGTCAGACAACCCACGCCCTCCCCCATCCCCTCCCCCGCCCCATCCTCCCCAACCCATGATGCAAACCCTGCCTTCTCTCCCCCTCCCCCTCCTCTCGCTCCTGTATTAGACCCTGAGCGTGAGAAAGCAGGCACAGAGGCCGGAGGAGCAGCCAAGGGTTGTACCATCACCGCCGAGTGCCTGAGCAGGCTGTTCAGCACGTGCAGCAGCACCGTCCCCGGGACCAACGATCCCTCCGACTTCGCCCCTACGCCCCCCACTGCCATCCCATCCCACGTCCACACGAGCGCCTTGTCACACGTAACCAGTGGCGGCGGTAACAGCCGGAGCCGCAGCCCCCGCATCAGCACCACAGAAACCGGCCCAGAGGCGGTCTTGGCGTACAGAAACAGCTTGGCCCAGGGAGAGAGGAACGCGGGGGCGGGGGGGCCGAAGTGCGCAGGGCCGGAGCCATCAGGAACGACGGCATTGAGGGGCTTGGGGAGCGGCACGATGGACACCACGAGGTCGAAGTCGCGGCGCAAGAGGCGGTGCAGCGTGGCCGGGGCGAGGCCCTGCAGGCTCTCGGTTCGAAGGACTTCTACTCGGTTGAATGTGGCTCTAGAGGCTAGCACTGCTGCTGCTGATGGAGCTGTTGATGATGATGATGTTGGTAGTGTTGCTGCAGCAGGGACAGCAGCAGCAGAAGAGGAGGGAGAAGTCTCCTGAGAGGCAGCAGTATCTTGGCTATCTGCAGCAGCTGCGGCGCCAGAAGCAGAGGGCGGCGGGGGAGGAGGGGCAGCAGGGGAAGAGGAGCCATCGTCGCTTGCCTCTGCATCTGGCAGTGAAGGGTAAGAGGCAGCACGGGGATGCAGCTGCGACTTCTGATGCAGCCTGGATTGCTCCAAGCCTGAAGCGCTAGCGCCAGCAGCAACAGCGGTCGCAGTAGCATCAGGATCAGCATGTGAGGAGGGTTGGTGTGATGTATTGACAGAGTCAGGCAGGGACTGGGAGGAGGAGGAGGCGACCAGGTGGGACGGAATGGGGAGGGGGAGGTCAGAGGGGTCGGCAGTGGAGGCAGAGTCGGCTACACTGCGCGTGGACCAGGCGTCTTCTGGGGTAGGGACATCTGCAGTAGAACCCACACCTGCTGTGACCACCTCTCCCTGTACAGGCTCAGAAGCAGCAGCGGCAGCAGCAGCATCAGCAGCCAGAGCACCAGCAGCATCTGCAGCAGGAGCACCAGCAGCATCAGGAGCAGGAACAGGAGCAGGAGCAGCGGAAGCAGTGGCAGCAGTGGCAGTGGGGCGGGGGGTCTGGAGGGTGGAGGTGATGTCAATGGTGCCAGTGCGGAGGCAGGAGAGCGCATAGCGCAGGCTGAAGGCGTGGTCCGTGAACTTCTGCAGCTCGCCCTCCAGCTGCGTCTTCTCCACAGCCCTCAGTTCCCCGCACAGCTCGGCCACACTCCTTTCTGACAGCTTGCCCGCTTCAAACAGAGTGACCGCGTGCTGCTTCAACTCTGGGAGGGGCAAGGCAAGGGAAAGGAAGCAGAGGTCAAGCGGGGGAAGGAAAGAGAGAGGCTGAAGGCGTGGTCTGTGAACTTCTGCTGCTCGCCCTCCAGCTGCATCTTCTCCACAGCCCTCAGCTCTCCACACAGCTCCGCCACGCTTCTCTCTGAGAGTTTTCCCGCCCTCAAACAAAGTTACTGCGTGCTGCTTCAGCTCTGTGTGGGAGAGGGGCAAAGGGAAGGGAGAGTGAGCAAGCGGGAGAGGGAAGCAGAGAGGCTGAAGGCGCGGTCTGTGAACTTCTGCAGGTCGCCCTCCAGCTGGGTCTTCTCCACGGCCCTCAGCTCTCCACACTGACATGATGGCAGAGTACACTGCCCATAGGAGAAGCAGAGTACACTGACCATAGGAGAAGCAGAGTACACTGACCATAGGAGAAGCAGAGTACACTGACCATAGGAGAAGCAGAGTACACTGACCATAGGAGAAGCAGAGTACACTGACCATAGGAGAAGCAGAGTACACTGACCATAGGAGAAGCAGAGTACACTGACCATAGGAGAAGCAGAGTACACTGACCATAGGAGAAGCAGAGTACACTGACCATAGGAGAAGCAGAGTACACTGACCATAGGAGAAGCAGAGTACACTGAGCATAGGAGAAGCAGAGTACACTGACCATAGGAGAAGCAGAGTACACTGACCATAGGAGAAGCAGAGTGCACTGACCATAGGAGAAGCAGAGTACACTGAGCATAGGAGAAGCAGAGTACACTGAGCATAGGAGAAGCAGAGTACACTGACCATAGGAGAAGCAGAGTGCACTGACCATAGGAGAAGCAGAGTACACTGACCATAGGAGAAGCAGAGTACACTGCCCATAGGAGAAGCAGAGTACACTGACCATAGGAAAAGGACCCCATCATGAGGAAGGAGGTGAGGTTGGCGTCCACCATCAGCGCGATGCGCAGCCGGTCCGCCCCACCCCCTTCCCCTCCCACTCCCCACCCCACCGACTCCGCCTTCTTCCACCCCACCACCCCCTCCTGCGGACTCTCCCCCTCCTGCCTTGGCAGAGAACCCTCATTCCCCGCACCCCCCTCTCCGCCCTCCCCCTCGCCCCCCAGGTCCATGTGCTCCAGCAGCGACTCCAGGTCCAGCACCTTCTCCGCCCACCCCAGGCGGCACGCCAGGGAGATGGCGGCGCCCAGCTGCCGCACGTCGGCCTGCAGGGTGAGCGCCATCTCGTGGACAGTTGCCTGCTCGCTGGCCGTCACAAACAATGAATAGAGGAGTCTGCATGTGGGGCATGCGGGGAGTGCAGGGAGTGCAGGGAGTGCAGGGAAGGGAGAGGGGAAGTGAGGCGGCATGCCAGTGAGATGGCGGAGAGGAAGGAGTCGCACCATTCACAAGTGCATAGTGCCTACTGTACATACCAAAGCGAAACACCACCTGTACGCATGAATGAACATTACATTCACGAGGATACTCGAGCAGGAAAACATACTTTTCCGATGCATCCTGCTGGTTTTTGTTGGACACAAAGCCCTCGAGGGACGACACTGCAGGCGTGGGGAGAGGCAGGCAGCGCGGAAGCAAGGGAGGGTGCAACAAAGAGGGGAGTGAGATGGAAGCTTCATGTTGTGATGGGTGGGTGAAGCATGAACAACAGCAGCATCGAGATTCAACCAAGGCGGAAATCATACCTCGCAACATTGAGATTACCTCGTAACATTAAAGCCCGAGTCTACATTGGTTGGCTATCAAGGTCAGGATTCCTGAACTTGCTTTCGCAAAAGTAGGGGTAACCCAGTGAAGGGGACCATCACGTCGCGACCCTTGGGGAAATGGGGCAGCGTGCAAAATTCGCTATATGAGACAAACCTCTAACTTTCTGTTCACTCATACTGAAGTTGAAAACGCCCGGTACCATTCTAGACGCATTTTTTGCCGAGACTCGCTGCACGGGAAAAGCTTTGTACAGTTTGCCCCCCCACCCCCTAAGTCGTCACTGTTTGCGCACTGTTGATTACAAGTTTGTTGGGTTCCTTTTGTGTCACGAGCGACCCTTTTTTCTCGCTGAGAAGTAGTTTTCGCCAGAGGAGCTTTGCCGAAATTGTTTTCGTCCAGAGTTTTTGGCACTGTTTCCATGATCAGTAAACATGGTTTTTTACCATTCTAGATTCGGGCTTTAAGATAACCTTGTAACGTCAAGTTCACCTCGGAATCTGTCGTTGGGGTAGACAGGCACGTCGAGGTAAATGAGCCCCTTGACATACAGCGACCGCACCAGGTCCTCATCAAACTCCCCCGCCATGCAGTCGCCCTCGCGCCCCCCCCGCTCTACTATGGAGAGCTCGTCCTCTGTGAGCCTCTGGTGCAGGGATGAGGGCGAGGCAGACACAGGTGAAAGGAAGCCAGGGGAGTGCTCTGTTTCTGAGAATTCTGAAACGAGAGGCATGCCGCATGGAGAGGAATGGAGATGCATGAGAACGTGACACCGGAACAACAGCAGCAGCGCACAGGATTCGGCACCAGCGATTTCTGGCGGGTGAAGCTGATGGGTTTTGTCCCATCTGCGTACCCCTCAATGTACTCGTTGTAGGCTCACCCTGTACTCGTCCGTGGAGAGGTTGACGACGCAGACGAGCCACCAGGGCTGAATGGGGAAGGGCACCGGCTCCAGCGGCAGCATGTCCTTCACTATGCCGCGGTTCACCCGCCACATGAGCTGCATGCACACAAGAGAGCGCATGGGGGGAGAGGATGGGGGAGGATTGGGGGAGAGGCTAGGGTAAGTTCATCAGGGCAGCAGCATGTCCTTGAATATGCCGCGGCTCACCCACCACATCAGCTGATGCATGAGGGGCGCATGAGGGGGGAGGCTGAGGATGGGGTAAGGCCACCAGGGCTGGAAGGGGAAGGGCACCGGCTGCAGCAGCAGCACGTCCTTCACGATGCCGTCCAGTGGTCCAGTGGTCCAGTGGGCTAGTGGTCCAAGGAGCCAGTGGACAAGGAGCTCATTCTGGCGCCCAGGAACTCATTCTGGCGCCCAGGAGGTCATTCTAGCGCCCAGGAGCTCATTCTGGCGCCCGGGAGCTCATTCTGGCGCCCAGGAGCTCATTCTGGCGCCCAGGAGCTCATTCTGGCGACCAGGAGTTCATTTTGGCGCTCAGGAGCTCATTCTGGCGCCCAGGAGCTCATTCTGGCGCCCAGGAGCTCATTCTGGCGCCCAGTGGTCCAGTGGTGTGGTCCAGTGGTCCAGTGGACTTGTGGTCGAATGGTCCAGTGGTCAAGTGGCCCAGCGGTCTAATGGTCCAGTGGTGTGGTCCAATAGACCAGTGGTCCAGTGGTGAGGTTGAGTGCACCACCGGTCCAGTGGTCCAGTGGTCGTCCAAAGGTATAGCAGTCCAGTGGTCGTGTGGTCCAGTGGTCCAATGGTTTAGTGTCCAGTCTAGCTAGAGAGAGAGAGATTAGAGAGCTTCTGGTCTCATTCTGGCCCAGTCTAGGGTACCAAGTCTAGGGTACCCAGTCTAGGGTACCCAGTCTAGGGTACCCAGTCCAGGGTACCCAGTCTAGGGTACCCAGGATTATATCAATCGAAGGACCGCTTGAGAGTAGACGGCTTGAGATGCGAGGTTCCATGCCAGTCAGACCAGGAGTATGACCCCACGTTAGGGAGATGCAGCATGAATGCAGCCCACCTTGGCCCGCGCCGCGCCCATTATTTGACCCCACCTTGGCCCGGGCTCGGTTCATGATGTCGATGAACTGGTTGCGCCCGATGCCTGTCTCCCTCAGCGCGTCCGCTGCAGTGAAGTTGGGGATCGTGTCGTACGACTTCTCTGCGCGCACACACAGGACGAAAAGAACGAGGAGAGGGTAAGTGAGGTAGGCCACTCTGCAAGGCAGCATGACAGGACCATATCCGCTGTGCTCACCTTGCTTTGCTGGATCCACCTTAATTTCTGTCGCACGTTTACTGGGTGGTATACACGCCTTACCTTGCTTCTCCAGTCGTTACAGTGCACCTCACCTGCTTCGTTACAGCGCACCTCGCCTTGCTTCGCTACAGTCACCTCACCTTGCTTCATGACATCGAGCAGCAGGTCGCTGTAGTAGCGGAACGGGGAGATGCGCAGCACGCGGCAGATGTAGTCCGCCAGGTGGTACGGGAACGGCTGCGAGGAAACAGCACCCACGGAAATGGAGACAAGCAAAAAGAAAAACACTCAGCCCACAGAATTCACACATGACCACAGAGTGCGCGCACTCCTGACCAAGAATTCAAGATTGAACCATCCTGATAGTCAGCTCCCTGACCGTCTGTCCAAAGTCATCAATGGGGCATGGCTATGGGAGGCGGCACGCACGGCTTGCGTCTTGCGGCCGTGCGCGAGGAGCTCGTTGTAGTAGTCCAACTCGCGGCACAGGTGCTTTGCGGGGCTTTCGGGCCAGCGCAGGCGCAGCTGGAAGCAATGCTCCTTCACGCTGCATGGAGAGGAGGGAGGGGGGGTGGGGGAAAGGAGGGGGGAGAGTGGGGGAGAGGAAGGGGGTCATTGGGACTTGGACGAAAAGGAATCGAGGGAACTAAGGAAATGTCGGCAGGCTTAAATAAAGGATGCCATCGTCTAATCTGCAGATGATGGATGCGTGGATGATACAATCCTGATAGGCTGCCTGCTATGGAATCCAAGCCGGGAATTATGTCTAGTTAACATCCGTCTATTCATAAAAAACAGCACAGGCGGAATTCTGTTGTATCCAAACGAATGTGCTTACCGTCTAATGTATTCGTCGTTTGAGCCTAGAAAGAGCTTCGCTCGTTTGGGTAGCTGGTCCCATGGCACGCCGTCGCGAATGGCCTTCGATATAAGCTGCTCCTCCATAATGGCGTCTTATGACGCTCAGCGCGTGCACATGAGACGGAAACACTTCCGTCCGGGAACTCCGAACCGGGAATACCCAGCAACGAATGGATTAGATGTGACGCTGAAAGAAAGACGGAAATCAAACCGGATCCCAATGCAAAAGGCGGTCTTGCGGTGTCTTATGCTCGACTGTTAGCGTACAGCTCATCGGGATGTGTGCAATGCCATGGTTGTGTCAAGATAAGAGATGCCATGTCCACAAAGCATGGACAGGAGCTACCAGGCATGGGGAGAGAGAATCTGACGGCGTGGTACATCGGGAGTGGAAACGCCGTTCGAACGGAGTTTAAAAAGAGTTCAACACGGTACTGCTAGTTTTAGTAAGTTTTTGGTTCGGTGCAGTATGGTGGCCGTCAGATATGGCTGTTCGAACAGCCTATGTACCACGCCCTGATGGAAATTTCTGACTGAAACCAGAACAGTGCAGACCCCTTGGGAACTCCGGTGGAAGACGAACGCGATATTGTGGCAGAGTCACTAATTCAAAACGATTTTGTTTCTTACATATGAAGGGGGCTGCTCCTTATAGGCTTCTCGTGCCTATGCTATGCAGAACGATTCAATTCAAACCTAGAAATGGACTACGGAGTTGGGAATGAGATAAATCGTCTGGTGTTGTAGTAGACTAAGTATAAAACTATAAACACGAACACTTGGTAAATCCTCAAGTGTTGGTCCAGGATCTTTGCTGGAATTGTAGACTAGTAAGACAGCGGAAGTCTTGTAAAATGTAAAGGTCAAGGTTGAATAACCTGAGTATGTGAACTTGTGAGTAATCAAAGTTAATAATGAAAAGACCTGACAGAGATTTATAGTTCTACGAAAAGTACCTATTCGCTAATGTACCTGTTCGTCACTATCGCGCTATGCGCCCTAGATGATAATGAAGAGGTGCGACTATTCGCGTGACTGAAACGACTGTCCTATGACGAGCGCTATTTGCTGACGTCATCCTACGGACTTATCTTCTACAGTATGGTTCGACACTAACTACACTTAATCGACTTACAGAAATGCTAAGTACCAATTATATCACAACACTCCCCTTCATTTCTAGAACGTCGATAGTGTCACTTCTTGAAGATTCCGCAGAGTTTGTTACAGTACTGAAACTTCTGTCATGTCAGCTTCTTCGTCAGAAAATCGGCAGCCATTTCGTTGGTCGAACAGTAGACCAATCGCATCCTCCCCTTCCCGACTTCATCTTTGACGAAAAAGTAACGAAGTGAAATATGCTTCGTCCTGTTGACGAAACCAGGTTGATGTGCGATGCGAATTGCACTTTGATTGTCGCATTGTAGGGTAAACTTGGTAGTTGTCGTCAACTTCGCTTCTTCCAACAGTTCCTGTAAGTAAATTCCTTCGCGTGTTGCTGTGCAGACAGCAATGAACTCAGCTTCAGCAGAGGAGAGTGCAATTAGCTCCTGCTTCGTAGAATTCCAAGAGATAGGTCCGATAGGTTCCAGTCGATAGATGAACCCAGTGCGCGACCGTCGATTAGTAAATCAGCAGCGTGATCGGCGTCGACAAAACCGTGTAGATAGAGTGTTTTACAGCCGGTGACGTTGTAGACTAATCCGACGTCAGGTGTCGAGATAAAATACTGAAGTGCACGAAGTAGATCAAGCTGATGCTCCTCCTCAGAACGGCGTAGGAACTGAGCGAGCTGACTGGCCGTGTAGGCTAGATCAGGACGACAAGTGACAGCGGCGAAGAGTAGACAGCCTAGCTGCTGTAGATAGATCTATAAACCAGTTGAAGTTAACAGTGCAGTATTCGGTTTGTGGTTAGTCGGTAGTGATCGGTACGGTGTAGAGACTGTAGTAGGCGTGAGGTTGAAGCGGGTAGCGAGTGTTGCTGCATACTTAGAAGCGGTGAGATGAATAGTTGTCGGTGAATGGGTAATGTTCAGTCCAAGAAACTGTGAAACTGTTTCGGAGACGGTAAGCTGTAGATTTTTCTGTAATTTCAGTATGAAGGTCTCGGCAAGAGAATCGGAAGTACTGACATATAGGATGTCGTCGACGTAGGCAACGAGTAAAATGTAGTTGCTGCCGTCGGTCAGTCGATACATTCCCTGATCGTGCGGTAGTTGACGAAAACCGGCAGTGATCAGCTGCGAGTGAAGATACTGCTGCCAGAGCCGTGGTGCCTGTTTAATGCCGTACAGGGACTTTCGTAGACGGCAAATGCTTGGCGGGTTAGTAGTATAAGAATGCGGGTACTCTACCAGGATGAGCGCGTCGACAGGCGCGTAGAGAAACGCATTTGATACGTCGATCTGTCGAAGTCGGAGATTACGGCAGGCGGCGACACAAAGCAGAATTCGAACACTTGTATGTCGGCCGACAGGAGCAAAGGTTAGTTCATAGTCGATGCCGTAAGTCTGCTCGAATCCGCGGACGACCCATCGTGCTTTACACTTTTCAAACGACCCATCTGCATTAGTCTTGACGCGGAAAACCCATTTTCCGGTAAGTACCTTCTTCCCTTTGACCTCTGAAGTCGGGATTAAATCCCATGTACCACGATTCTTGAGTGCTGCTAGCTCCTTGTCCATGGCTTCGCGCCATTTTTCTCGGTGAGGACTCGTAAGTGCTTGTCGGACAGTTTTTGGTTCAGGTATCTTACTGTCGTTGCGCTGTACTGCTACTGCAAATCCCAGTATCTGCAATCCTGTTCTGTAAATTGCGGACGTTCTTCGTTTGCACCTGCGAAATTTTCTTCTGCTCCTTCTTCCCCCCCAATTTCGTTAGGTGTAACACGAACTGCTTCGTCGGAGACGACAGGCATCGGCTGCTGTTGGCGATCTCGTTCGTAACTGAGATGATCTTCGCGAACATCAGTCGGGTCAGCATCGGCAAGAGGAATGAATTCAGGTAGTCGGCCAGTCGAGGTTAGGGGTTCGGGAATGTCAGTTGCGGCAGCTTTGGATGCTTCAGAAACTGCTTCATCCTGTACATCAGCTTCAGCCTCGTCAGTGGCAAACGCACGCGAGCCTTTGAACAGCCTGGCAAGGTTGGCAGCTGCTGCCTGGTGGGCACGAAAAACGGGCAAGGTGAGTTTTTCATAGAAAAGACAATCACGTGACGGGATGACTTGGTTGGAGCGGAGATCCAAAAATTTCCACGCGTGATACTGTTTTTCGATGCCGAGATGTACCCCCCATTTGGCTCGTTCGGAAAATTTTCCGAGTGCTGCAGTTGGAGGACGAAACTGTACAACACACCAGAAAACTCGTAAAAGTTTTGTACTCCCCACTGTATGTGTCCACTGCAGGTGTGGAGAAGAGAACTCGGGCAGGGACGTTGAAGAAGGAAGGCTGTGTAACAGCACGGCGTGGTCCATCGCATACGGCCAAAAATGCGGTGGAAGGGCTGCCTGCGTCAGCAGAGCACACATCTTCTCCTGCAGAGTCCTGTTCATCCTTTCTGCTACCCCCATCTGTTGGTGTGCATGTGGCAGCGACTGCTTCCGTTTGATGCCGAGTGTCTGAAGGTAGTCTGTGAAGGTGTTGCTGGTGTACTCTCCTGCACCATCACTTTGAAATTCTTGCTGTTTCACGCCTGATTCTCGTTCAGCGACAGCGAGCCATGCGACGAAGACGGAGTGAGCGAGATGGCGCGCAGGTAGGTTGGCTGTCCAGACATAACGGGTAGACGCTTCGATGAAGGTGATCACACACTTCTCGTCGTTAGGTCCTGCTTCAGACAGGTTGAGTATGTCGCTGTAAACTTTCTGCATCAGTTTATAACGGGTTGAGCCGGGAAAATGACTTGGAAATGGATCGTGCGTAAGGTTGGCAACTGGACAGGTGGTGCAAACCGTCGGACGAGACTGCGGCTTCATCTCCGTGCCATCAGGTAAAAGCAAACTATTTTTATCAAGAACTGCTGCTCGGATTGAATGATTTAGAATCCCTTGTGATGGATGCCCTAACCGCTGATGCCATATATCTTCTGTGGCTTTGTGTCCTGATGATCGTAGGTAAAAACCGAAGTTAGTATAAAAAGAAGAAAGAATGAAAGGAGATAGCGCTGGTGAGCGGTCAACATCTCCTTCGATGAAACGGGTAAGAGGTAAAGTAACAGTTGTTGGTGTGGTTAAAGGTGCAACTACTGATGCTGCTTCTGTTGATGTCGTGGCAGGTGTTTCGGCGACAGCTACTGTTTGACTCGGCTGCTCAGCTACGGCTTCCTGTTCTGCTTCTTCAACGATGTCAGGTTCATCAGCTGCAAGACCACTTATCTCCCCCCAAAGTGGTGCTGGAGATCCTTGGAAAGCTGCACGGGTGTTATAAAAAGTTCGCCACGCAGTGGCGCTTTCATCGGCAGTATTAAAATCCCAAGTATCCAACGCGGTAAGTACGGCTGCTGCTGTTCGAGAAGCTGTTGGTACTGAAGTTGCTCGAAAGTCAATATCCACGTTTTGATAATCTGTTTCTTCTGGGTGATCCCAGGGACCAAGTGCGAGGACGCGGTCAGAATCACCAGAAGTTCCTTGTGCTGCGAACTGAAGTACCGACGCGCCATGTTGAGTGGCGGCACGACCAAGGTAGGTATTTGTTGTATTGTGCTAGAGCTCTTGATCCATCGTCTCACAATTTCCTTGTGTGCGGATTTTGTGCGCCAGGAGTTGAGCGGTAGAAAGAAGATTGAAGCCAAGACCGGCGACGATAAGAACATTCGTAACATGAAGTGAGTATCCCGTGTCGATAGATTCGAGCATGACACTGCCAACTGATCGTGCCATTGTTGTTTGTCCGTTGGCGACTGTGACAGGTATGGGACGACGAAGAGGACGCTGATTCGTGATAAAGCTTGTTTCGGCAGAACACATATGCCATCCACAGCAGCTGTCGAGATACCAGGTATTTGGTCCTGAAATTATGCGAGCAAAGTTAGCGTAAACTTGAGGTAAAGGAATGCCTTCAGCACTTGTTGTTTCTTCAAGTCGTGTTTCGAAGTCTGTTTCTGAAACATCAACTGTTGTAACACATCCAAAAACTCCTTTTCCTGATGTGGCAGATGCGAAGACCGGCGGGCGCTGCTGCGTCGTTGATGTACTCTGCGGCGGTTTCGGCATCTGCTGCTGCTGAGACGTTAACTGCTGCTGTGGCGCTTGTGTCTTCGGTGACTGCTGCGATCGGTGATACGGCTGCGAAGTGCTGCGACGTTGATGACGGCTGCGACAGTTTTGGTAAGTATGTTCTGGTTTCTTACAGAAATGGCAGAACAGATACTTTGGTGGATGTCGATGCTGTGTGTCTGGATTGGAGTAAAAACTTAAATGAACCCCCCTTTTCTGGTTGCGTTGTGACTGCATGTCAAGATCTTGCTGCTCGGCTTGAAGATAAGACGAATTTTCAGCTTCGGAGAGGTTGGGATTCATGCGCAAGAAGGCGCGCGTCTGTCGCCATTCGGGTCCAAGTCCAGCAAGAAGGACAGTGAGATACATCTCACGAGGGAAGTATCCTCCGCTCTTTTCTAGTTGATCGCGTAGTGTACGGACTCGGTTAACGTAGTCCATGACATTTTCGGTTGTCTCCATCTGCACACTTGTCAGCTGCGAAAGGATTTTACTCACTGTTATCGTATCCTTTGCCATGTATACCCCTTTCAGATGGTTCCATGCAGTTTCAGCTGGTGTGAAACTTGAGTGAAATGATCGAACGCCAAGCTGCTCCTTCGGTGACAAGTTCCGTACAAGAACTGTGTTCGCCCCGAGAGAGGCGTGTAAAAAACACTGCTGCTCCAGTTGTGTTCCCACGACAGGATACGTAAATTCGCCAGTGAAGAACGGCCATAGCCCAGCGGACTGCGCCAGAAGCTCAAACTCAAAGCTCCAGGAGTAGAAGTCAACACCATTAAAAGGTACGGTTGTCTTGATCTGAGTATTGTTAAGTAAATTTGGAGGCTGAAATACAATACCTGGCTGTTGCTGTTGTTGCTGTTGTTGCTGTTGTTGTTGTTGTTGTTGTTGCTGTTGCTGTTGTTGTTGCTGTTGCGGTACTTGCTGTGGTTGCTGAGCAGGAGAACGACCGAAGATATAGAAGGGATGCTGAAACGGCTGCGACTGCGGCTGCTGTACGAAAGGTGAGAAGGCAAACGAACCAGTGTTTGGAGCTGTAGCTCCACGCATGTAGCTTGAGCCGTCAAGGCTCATTCCACTGAACGCAGATGAAATTGATTGCGTTGTAACTGGTGGCTGTACCGATGCTTGTTGCTGTGTTGTTGTCTGTGATTGCTGCTGTTGCGTTGCATGTGTAGTTGATGGAGCACCTGGAGTATTCACAGAAGGCGGATTCTGCATACCGATATTAGCGTAGGCTGGTGGAAAGTGCCAAGAGGCTGAGAGACCAGCGGCGGTAGTGGAGGCATGTGCTCCAGTAGTCCCAGTAACTGATCCAGCAGATGGTGCTAGTGTTGGACCAGTCATAGTTGACGGTAGTCTTAATTCCAGATAGCTCTCATACCAGATGCTATGCAGAACGATTCAATTCAAACCTAGAAATGGACTACGGAGTTGGGAATGAGATAAATCGTCTAGTGTTGTAGTAGACTAAGTATAAAACTATAAACACGAACACTTGGTAAATCCTCAAGTGTTGGTCCAGGATCTTTGCTGGAATGGTAGACTAGTAAGACATCGGAAGTCTTGTAAAATGTAAAGGTCAAGGTTGAATAACCTGAGTATGTGAACTTGTGAGTAATCAAAGTTAATAATGAAAAGACCTGACAGAGATTTATAGTTCTACGAAAAGTACCTATTCGCTAATGTACCTGTTCGTCACTATCGCGCTATGCGCCCTAGATGATAATGAAGAGGTGCGACTATTCGCGTGACTAAAACGACTGTCCTATGACGAGCGCTATTTGCTGACGTCATCCTACGGACTTATCTTCTACAGTATGGTTCGACACTAACTACACTTAATCGACTTACAGAAATGCTAAGTACCAATTATATCACAACAGGGAATTAATAGGATTCCCAATCCAAGGATCGAAAATCTACCGATAATTTCGGTCCGGTTTGACTATACTCAACTTTTCTAGCTTAGCTTTGAAGCGATACATTTTATATTCAGGGATGGTCTTAATTGCTTATCTACTGATCGAAGTCAACAACTCTTGTACCAGTCATTATGGCCAGCACAACGCATGGTATTAGGGAACTATACGTTAAATATGCTCAACGAGATTGAAAATAACAATTTTATATTTTTCATCAAACTCACCAGGCAGCGTGATGAGTGCATTGATTTTCTGAAAGCAGCACATGTTGAGATATGCCACTGTTTCTCATATGCCAGTGTTCTAAATTGTTCTAAGTGCCCTCATTAGCCGGTTTCGACTGTACGTGTATGAGGGTTCTTTTCCAGCTCGGAGCGGAGCAATTCCTGTCAGCCCCTGCTGCCTGACATCTCCAATCTGCTGCTTACGAGAATCCATCGTTCATTTCATCGGATTCTGTAGTTCTTGCCAGTCTTGGTCTGTGTCAGAGCTAACTCACCATTCTGGTTTCTAGTGTTGACCAGCAAGCGACCTGGGCATAGCGCTTGTGTCCTTTCAAGCGCTTCGCCATTTCAGCTCTATTTCTTCTCGGATTTTATTGTCACACCTCTGATAGAAGGCTTCAGATCTTGCAGGAACCTCACGATTTATATTCACTAAACCGTTTCCTTAGACTGTCATATCAGCGCATTCAGAATTTGGCAACATGTCAGGAAGCTCGGTCACACTCGCGTTGGAAAGGGTAATCTACGCAATCCCAATGATTCAGCTACTCTCTCGCTTATCTCTCAAAATGCATCGCATCCTTAAATTCGTACCCGTCGTTAACATTTCGTTATCATCTCCGCAGATAGCAAGCAAGGATAAGGATTTCCGGTACATGGGGACCTCGGATCTCCTGAACGAGCTGAACCGAGACACGTTCCGCATCGACCCAGACAGCGAGAAGCGCCTCTGCCACGTCGTGCTGCAGCAGCTCGACGACGCCTCGGGCGACATTTCCGGCCTCGCCGTCAAGTGGTGCGTCGCATGGAGTCGCAGTACTGATGCGATGTTCTGTTGCTTGCAGGTATCTGGGTTCTGGGATTCACGGCTTGGTTTATGGTTTGGTCCTGTCCTGGCTGCAATGTAAAGCGACAGATTTTCAGCTGGTCGACGAGAAATGTCTGACTGATGAATTCAAGCTTCCCTACGATTTAGGACGACTTACCTGTTCGTCATCTCCCGCATCCGGACTACCATTTCTCCCCTGCTTCTTTCTCCTGACGTTTTCCGTCAGCCTGGTTCCGTTAGTGAAGAAGGCGAGTGAGGCGCGCGTGGCGGAGATGAGCGCGGCGCTGGTGGGCAAGCTGCTGACGGGCAAGGACCCGCAGCGCGACATCGCCTCCATCGCGCTCAAGACCGTCGTCGCTGAGGTGGCGTCGCCCGCTGCCATCCACCACCTGCTCTCGTCGCTGCCGGCCAAGCTCACTGCAGCCATTGACTCTCCGGTGGGTGGGTCACAGGGATTAGATGTTCATTCTTTAGGCGCCTCAAAAAGAGGTCGCCTCGCCTGCTGCCATCCACCACCTTCTCTCGTTCCTACCCGCCAAGCTTACAGCAGCTATCGACTCTTCGGTAGGTCACACGGGTTTGAAGTTCTCTGTGGATGCTCGTTTTTTGTTTTTGCTGAGAGTCACCACACCACACCACACCCCACCCATCACATCGCTCGTGAGTACATGAGCGTCAGCAGACCATGTCAGCCCTCTTGCACACCAATGCACCACACGGTCCACCCCATTAGTACGCCGTGCCACTTCTCAGTGCCCTACCGCATCTCCCGCACTGCCCAGGACACGAGCGTGGATGTGAAGGGCGAGTGTTTGGACGTGCTGGGGGACGTTCTGCAGCGGTTTGGAGTGGTGATGGCCGGTGACCACGAGAGGCTTCTGGTGCCCCTGCTGCACCAGCTCTCCTCCCCCCGGGCCTCCCTCCGCAAACGAGCCACCCAGTGCCTGGGTACGCCACAGGATCAGCGCATGTCGTGAGGATATTACGAGATGCAGCATGTTTCCACAAGGATGCTAGCTTTTATTTCTACAAACGCTCTGGGTACGCCACGCCACAGGATGCGAGCATTCCGTTACAAGGATGGCAGCATGTTCCCATAAGTATATTAGCTTTTCCTTGTACCATTTCATATCATCTCTCTCCCTATCTCAGGGCGTCAAGAGACCCCTTCCAGATGGTCATTCCCCGTCTCCTGACCTCCTGTCCTGTGTGCGTGCAGCGAGTCTGGCGGCGAGTCTGTCGGACGACCTGTTGGCGCGGGCGACCAACAGCGTGGTGGCGCTGCTGCAGCGCAAGGACCTCAAGCCCGAGATGACGCGCTCCTACATCCAGATGGTCGGCGCGCTCTGGTACGCCCTTGTTGACGTCAAGCCCGAGATGTCCTGCTACGAGATCGTCCTCTGCATTCCAAGAGCATGTGGATCGATCATGCTGCCACTTGTCATGCCATGGACCATACATGCCACGCCATGCCACGCCATGCCACGCCATGCCACGCCATGCCACGCCATGCCACGCCATGCCATGCCACGCCATGCCATGCCATGCCATGCCACGCCATGCCATGCCACGCCATGCCACGCCATGCCACGCCATGCCATGCCACGCCATGCCATGCCATGCCACGCCAAGCGATGCCATGTTATGTCTATGAGTGGGCCCCACCCCCATGACCATCCCTCTTTCCCTCTCTCACTCCCCCTCTCGGCCCTTCCTCTCCCAGCCGAGCTGTGGGGTACCGATTCGGCCCTCATCTGGGCGTGGTGCTGCCGCTCGTGGTGGGCTTCTGTGAGAACGCCTCCGAGAATGACGATGAGATCCGAGAATACTCCTTGCAGGTCCGCGCCCACCACTCCACAATACCTGGCGTTCGAGAAGATTCATTGCTCTACAGGCGGTAACGGACGGCCAGCTCGAGAGGGTGGCCAGGTGGAGAGGGCGTCCAACTGGAGAGGGCGGCCAGCTATAGAGGGCGGCCAGCTATAGAGGGCGGCCAGCAGCGGCCAGCAGCGACCAGCAGCGGCTAGCTGCGGCCAGCTTTAGAGGGCGACCAGCTTGAGAGGTCATTGTTGCCTTGTGACGCTGAAATACTGTGAAACGAATGCAGTCTCCTCCGTGGCACCCCCTCTCTGCAGTGCTGACTAAGGTGTACTGTTCCCCCATTTCACCCCCTTCCCGCAGGCCCTTGAGAGCTTTGTGGTGCGCTGCCCCAAGGACGTGTCGGCGCACTGCGAGGCCATTCTGGACCTGGCGCTCAAGTACCTCAGCTACGACCCCAACTTCACGGACGACGCCATGGAGGGCGACGAGGAGGGCGAGGGGGGGGAGGAGGAGGAGGAGGAGGAGTGAGTATGGGAGGGGTGGGGGGGCAAGGGAAGTAGTCTGCTACTGGCGCTCTAGTACCTGAGCTACAACCCCAACTTCACAGAGGAGGGCTGCGGGGATGAGGACAAAGGCGAGGATGAGTGAGGATGTTGGCGTGCGTTGTGACAAGCCCAGGTGACGTGTCACTGCCTGAACGACCATCCGTCCCATGCGTTCATCCACCGTCCAACCTGCCAGGGACGACGACGAGGAGTACAGCGACGATGAGGACGTGAGCTGGAAGGTGCGGCGAGCTGCAGCGCGGTGCATCGCCTCCATCACCACGTCCCGCCCCGAGCTGCTCGCCACACTCTATGCCAAGGTCAGATCCTTGAAACTCAGGACTGTAATGTTTATGCAGAACTCAAACTCTGAAACACGAGTTAGATTGTATGGCGCATTTCGGCTACCCTTTCTCCTGTGCACAAAATCTCATTTATGCATCTTTTATGTATATTCTGCCCAACCCCCGCTGCTTTTATTTTTTGCTCCGCACTCGCTCCTTCCCTTCGCCACATGCAGGCAAGCCCGAAGCTTATCGAGCGGTTCAGGGAGCGCGAGGAGAATGTCAAGGTAGGGGCAGCACTGTGACTGAAATGGGCTCAGCAGAAAAGTGATACGTGATACCATTGCCCTAGGCGACGAGTGGGTGGTTTGCTGAGCCTGTTCCACTAGACTCTCAATGTGGACGAAGCTACTCATACGTGCCTCTTCAGACTTACCGGTTTAGCTGCGTTCCTCTGGCGTTCGGTGCTGTCCCCTGTGCTTCCCTCCAGTCGTAGTCGTTCAGCTCATTGATGCACGCCTTCTACTGCTCGGTTCTCCTGTGCAGGTGGATGTGTTCAACGCATTCATCGACCTGCTCAGGCAGACAGGCCATGCCACCAAGGGCCACGCCACCCCTGCTGATGTGCCGCCGGGCAGGTAACACCTGGAAGGTAGTACTGGGCAGGTGATGCTGGGGAGGTAGCACTGGGCAGATAAACGTGGGAAGGCAGAACTGACTTAAGTCACGCTGGTGAGACAGCTTCTCGTTGCTTTTCAAAGAAGCAGGCCGCTCGTCTCGTCGCCCTTTCCTCTTTATGATGCCGCTCAAGCTGTGCCTCTCTACCTCGTCCCCCATCCCCCCCATTTCACCACGTCTTCCCCTCCCCACCCCGGTGTGACCGTGCAGCCCGCTGTTTGTGCTGAGGGAAGAGACGCCTCGCATTGTGAAGTCGCTCAACAGACAACTCAAGGAGAAGTCACTCAAAACGCGGGTATGCTGGATGGTGGAAGGAACGAGGGGAGGGGAAGAGGACCGGTGTAGACAAGAAGTAGCATGATTTATTGCGGAGATAGAGAGATTCCTCATATAGATTCCCTCGTCTCCCATCCTTTCATCTCTTTCTGTTGCCTTGTGATTGTTTCTCCCTCTCTTATCTTCTGCGCCCATCCCCAGGTGGGCGTGTTCTGTGTGCTCAAGGAGCTGGTGCACGTGCTGCCCAACTGCCTCACGGACCTCATCGCCCTGCTTATCCCCGGCATCCAGAAAGCGCTCACTGTTAGTATGCCTCTCCTATGATTCTATTAGTCCACTCAGCAGTCTTGATATGAGCTCAACACCCGAGGCATTTTCCATCCCCTCTCCCCCCCATTGCATTGTTCATTTTATCTCTCCTCTTCTTTGTCATGTCCCGGGCTCACCTCCCCTCCTCACCGTCTTGTCCTGTTGTCTTTCCCCCGCACTCTCTCGCCCCCTGTTTCATTGCTCGCAGGACAAGGCGTCCAACTCCAACCTTAAGATTGAAGCGCTTCTCTTCACTCGTCTCGCCATGGCCTCGCACCCGCCACAAGTCTTCCAGCCCCACATCAAGGTACAGGAGCACTTTAATCTACTACATTTGCATCGAGTCTAACAACAGCTGTTGCTTCAAGTTTATTTTAGCCTTTTCAAAGTGGTTGTGTTGAGGACCAGCCTTTTTTCGAAATTTCTGAAATCCTCAGTTGTCCCACCTAACTGCATGCTTTCATCTTGGTTGAGTGCCGATATATTGCCGGGCTGCTAGCACATTTTGTCATTTTGTTGCTCTCAAATCGCTGTTTGGAAACATCCGCGTCAGCAAGACACAGTGATTTGCGAGCATTAAGATGACAGAATCTTGCTGGCAGCTCGGCAGTATATCAGCACCCAATCAAGAAGAAAGCTTGCAGCACGGTGAGATGGCTGGCGATCTCAGGTAGGTCAAAGAGAGGCGTCTTCTCCAACACCAGCATGTTCTCAATCCATCGTAGTTGTTCAAACAACCTCCTGACCGTCTTACCTCCCTCCCACTTCCCCCCTCTCCCCTCCGATCAACTTTTCTCTTTCCCCCATCCCATCCCACCCCTCCCTCCCATCCCACCCCTCCCTCCCATCCCTCCCTCCCCCCCCTCCCGCCCATCCCTCCCCTCCCATCCCACCCCTCCCTCCCGCCCATCCCTCCCGCCCATCCCCAGGCCCTGGCGGCGCCAGTGGTGGCAGCGGCGGGCGAGCGGTACTACAAGGTGACAGCAGAGGCGCTGAGGGTGCTGGGCGAGATGGTCAAGGCCATACGCCCGCCAGCAGGCGAGGTACGAGGAACCGCCCCCTTCTGCTTTGCGGATCATACACCTATGCTCACTGACGCTCACTGGTGCTCACACTGTAGCGCCCGTGGCTCTTGCTTCCACTTACACCCTGTCTGCCCCATGCCTGTTCCCATCGCATCTGCCTCTGCATCCGGCATCCGCATGTGCGCCAATCAAGTGTGCCGCTGCCACTTCACCCTGCAGGGTTCTGGGTTTGACTTCGCCCCATACGTGCCACTCTTCTACGAGGCCATCATGAAGCGCCTCACCGCGCAAGACCAGGACCTCGTGAGATACCTCTCCCTGACCAGGACTTGGTGAGATTGTCCTTCCTGTATCATGAGACACCCCTTCTGTATTGTGCTGCTGCTGTCCTCTGTTTAGCAACTGCTCCGGCGCCTTTTTGCGGCAGGCGGTGGAGTGCGCCACACAATCCTCCCCTGTGCGTCTGCCCCCCCATGCCCGCAGGAGGTGAAGGAGTGCGCCATAGGCTGCATGGGACTGCTCGTGTCCATCCTGGGCGACCACCTCCAATCACAGCTCTCCACGTGTCTGCCCCTTCTGCTGGACCGCCTGCGCAACGAGATCACACGGCTCACAGCAGTGAAGGTAGGGGAGGGGAAGGAATCGTGCACGTGGCTCTGTCGGGGCACCTTTGATTGTCAAGGAGGAAATGAAAGTGAGCCATGCGTGAAGTGTCGTCGCTACTGCCCATACCCTCTCCCACTCCCCTCTTCCCCCCCATCCTCGTTCCCCACCGCTCAGGCGTTTGGCACGATAGCGGAGTCGCCTCTGCACATCAACCTCTCCTCCGTCCTCGAGCCCACCCTCGCTGAGCTCACCTCCTTCCTGCGCAAGGTACCCCTGTCTCCTCTCTGTTGTGCTGCTTCAGCCTGCTGGGAAAGGTGCACGTAGAATGGCTCACACTGTATGTGACTAAGCTGTGTACGACTTTCCATTGGTCTCTCCCTTGTACCTGCCCCTCCTCCACTCTTCAATGCCATTCTCCATCTCTCTCCCTCAGCTAACCTCCCCACCTTCCCCTGCGGCCCTTCTTCTTCACCAGGCCAACAGGTCGCTGCGCCAGGCGTCACTGTGCACGCTGAACGCCATTCTCTCCGCCTACGGGGCGGACATCACTGACTCTGCCAGGGATGCTCTGCTCACCGAGCTTGCTCCCCTCATCAGGTGCGTGACGGTATCAGGGGTGCCAGCGTTCTGCCTCTATCCGGTATAATAGTGAGGGGTGTCTGACAGCATCAGGTTTGTGTTTCCCTCGTTTCAACCTCGCATCTCTCTCACTCCCTCTTTGCCTCCCCTTTCCCTACTCTTTCACCTTGCCTCACCAGTCGGAGTTCCCTATCACACCAACTGGTTTATCCCTTCCTCCACCCCTCCCCTGCCAGTGACTCGGACCTCGCACTGGCAGCACTGGCCCTGCAGCTCTGCTGCTCCGTCACCAAGCAGGCTCCCCCTGCCTCTGCAGCTGCAGCAGCCGTGGCTGCCAAGGTGCTGCCTCAGGCGCTGGCGCTCGTGCGCTCGCCACTGCTGCAGGGGCAGGCACTGCAGGTGAGAGGAGGAGGGAGGGAGAGGAGGGTATGTGGGTAGGGGAGTGTAAGAGGTGTGAGAGGGCACCCCCTGCCTCCGCTGCTGCAGCAGCAGTGGCCGCCAAGGTGCTGCATCAGGCGCTGGCGCTCGTGCGCTCGCCACTGCTGCAGGGGCAAGCGGTTCAGGTGAGGCAAGGGGCCATGCTGTGTGGCTTGCCAGTGTCTCCTTTTGTGTGCTCGCTGCACATCGCTTACGGCTCCTCTCTCCCGTTCCTTCCACACCTCCCATCCCCCCTCTCCCCGTCCCTTCCCTTCCCGCATTGCTCCCCAGACCCTGCAGGGTTCTTCCAGCTGCAGGTGCACGTGTCAGACACGTCCTTCGACTCTCTCCCCCTGCTCCCAACACCTCTCCCCCCCCCCCTTCCCTCTCCCAGACCCTGCAGGAGTTCTTCGCAGTGCAGGTGCAGGCATCAGCTACCTCCTTTGACTCACTCCCCTCTGCTCCCCACCACCTTCCCCTCAACCCGCACAGACCCTACAGGAGTTCTTCGCAGTGCAGGTGCAGGCGTCAGCCACGTCCTTCGACTCGCTGCTCTCCGCCCTCCTCTCTGCCGGCCGCCCCTTCTCCTCCTCCATGTCGCCCGCCGCCGCTGCCGCCGCTGCTTCCTCCTCGGCTGCGGCGCGCCCCGCCTTCTCGTCCGTTGCTCAGTGCGCCGCCGTTCTGTGCGTGGCTGCTGGGAGTGACCAGTGCGGCGCCACTGTGAGGGCGCTCATGGGGAACGTTGAGTCTGCTGGCCACCCTGCTGCTGACACCGTAAGCCCTCATGCAGAAAGATTCCCCACATTGCGTTCTTGTTGGCGGTTCATAACTCACTAGCTTGCCAAAGCTGTATCCACGAAAGGTCGTTCTTTGGAGGCGCCTCAAAAGGCGTTCTTGTTGGTGGTTCACGACTCACCAGACTTCCAAAGCTGTGTCCAGGAAAGGTCATTCTTAGCGCACTCATCCCCACCTCACCTCCCCCTCCCCTCCCCTCTTATCTTCTTCCCCCTCGCCAGCACAAGCAGCTGCTGTCTCTTCTCTGTCTAGGGGAGATCGGCCGCCGAGTAGACCTGAGCGCGCACCCCACCCTGCCGGCGCTGGTGATGTCAGCCTTCTCGTCACCTCTGGAGGAAGTCAAGACGGCGGCGTCGTTTGCGCTGGGCAGCATTGCGGTGGGCAACCACAGCCAGTACCTGCCGTTCGTGCTGCAGCAGATTGATTCTCAGCCTAAGCTGCAGTATTTGTTGCTGCATTCGCTCAAAGAGGTGAGGGGATGAGGGTGAGGAGCAGGGCGAGGGTAAGAGTAGAACACCTCTGGAGGACGTGAGGCTGCGTGGCAAGGTGCCGCACCTCTTGAGCATAGATGGGCTCCGCTCAACTGAGCTGGAGTTCCTCGCTCAAAGAGGGCCGGCTGTGGATGGATGTGGATGGATGTGGATGGATGTGGATGGATGTGGATGGATGTGGATGGATGTGGATGGATGTGGGTGGATGTGGATGGATGTGGATGGATGTGGATGGATGTGGATGGATGTGGATGGATGTGGATGGATGTGGATGGATGTTGGCTGGGCTGTGAACCAGGCAAAGTGCCGGTTGTGCCCTTGTAGGCGTTCTTCATCCTGGTGCAGTTTAGCCATGGAGCAGCATTGCAGCAGCTGAGTAGAGAAGTGGCAATGGCGGGTAGCAGTTGTCGTGGCCCATCACGACTGCTTTACATCCATCCACACTCCTTTCGCCCTCTCTCTTTCTTCTAATCCCATCCTACCCCCCTCCCCCTCACCTGGCAGATCATCTCAGGGCGAGCGTCCAGTGCGGGCAGCCAGGCAGTGGAGCTGGAGGAGGGGAACGTGGCCAAGGTGTTGGCGCTGCTCTTCACGCACAGCGAGAGCGACGAGGAGGGCGTCCGAAACGTGGTGGCGGAGTGCCTGGGCCGCTTGGCGCTCATAGACCCTGCCAGGCTGGTCCCTGCTCTCAAGGTATGGCTTTGACTCAGCAGGGGGAATGTGCGCAACGTGCTGGCGCACCGAGAGCGACGACGAGGGCGTCCGGAGTGCCTGGGCCGTTTGGCGCTTATAGACCCTGCCCGGCTCGTGCCCGCCCTCAAGGTATGTCTTGGATTTGATAGGGGAAGGTGGGAAATCTACCAATGCCTCTGTTCACGCACAGCGAGGGTGAGGAGAAGGGCGTCAGGAACGTGGTGGGGTGGCAGAGTGCCTGGGATGTTTGGGACTCATAAACCACCACGTTCCTCACTGTCACCCTGCCAGGCTGCTGCCGGCATTGAAGGTGCGCTGAGGACTGCAGGCTGACGAGCCATCCTGCAAGGATTGCTCTCGTTGCCCTGCCCTCTGAACGTTCCCTCCCTTCTCTCGTTGCCCTTACAACCCTCCTACCCTCCTCCCCTCACTCCTCCCAAACCCCCCCACCTCGCCTCCCTCATCCCCCCCTCCTCCCCTCCCCCCTCCCCTCCTCTCCCTGCGTCTGCGTTCACCCACGCCACCATGGTGGCGACGCTCCAGCTCACTCTCGTTGAGGCGCTGCAGGCGCAGCCCATCCACATGCTCTCATGCACCGAATAGCCCTCCTCGTCCCTATTCTGCCTTCTCAACCCTCTCTCACTCCCTTCCCTCTCTTCCTTCCCACACCCCCCCAGGAGCGAGTGGGCAGCCCTTCTGCGTTCACCCGCGCCACCGTGGTAGCAGCACTCAAGTTCACTCTCACTGATGCGCCTCAGCCCATCGATGCTTACCTCAAGCAGGACCTTGCCTCCTTCCTCTTCCTGCTCCGGGACGATGACAGGGTAAGGGTGTTGGACGTCTGTCGGTCAGCGGGTGAGCGGGAGAGCGGGAGAGCGGGTGAGCAGGTGAGCGGGTGAGCGGGTGAGCGGGTCAACGGGTCGTGTGAAGGACTTGGGGTGTGGTTAGCGGGTCAGGGCAGGGAACCCTGCTGTTTTCTCCTGCTCGTACCACGTGCTGAAACATGTGATCACCTCACCTCACCGTCATCCTCTTCACTCCTGTGCAGCATGTGTGGCGGGCCGCAGTGCTGTCGCTCACGACAGCAGCGCACAACAAGCCGTTGAGTTGTCTCAAGACTAGCTTTCTTTCTCACCCTCCCATCCTCGCCTGTGCTGCAGCATGTGAGGCGGGCAGCAGTGCTGGCGCTGACGACAGCGGCGCATAACAAGCCCGGGCTTGTAGAGGACCTTCTGCCAGACCTGCTGCCGCTGCTGTACGACCAGATGCGAGTCAAGGTACGCGTGGGGGGGGTGCTGGGCATAGGTGGAGCATAGTAGCCTGTATTCTCCTCGTCTTCTGACTCTTGATGGGCCGATTTGATCACTGATGCGTCTCCTCTGTTTCTCCTCTCCTACCACGTGCAGCCTGAGATGATCCGGACCGTTGATCTGGGCCCGTTCAAGCACACAGTGGATGATGGGCTCGAGCTGCGCAAGGCAGCGTTTGACTGCATGGACACACTCCTCTCCACCTGCCTGCACCGCATCCAACCTGCCGCGTTCATCACACCCTTCCTCATCTCTGGGCTCTCGGGTATGTGTTTGCCCTCCCTGCATCCACTCCTCTGCCGGCCGTCCGACTGACAGCTAGCCGTAATGCAGTTTGGATTAATGCAGCTTGCGTGGTTCCCTCACTCCCTCTTCCCTTCTTGTTCCACCACCAATTTCGCTCCTCCCACCCCCCCCCACCGCAGACATCTACGACGTGAAGTTGCCGTGCCATCTGGTGCTCGCCAAGCTAGCCGAGAAGTGCTGCCCATCCGTGCTGGCGCTGATAGACGCGATGGTGGAGCCGCTGGAGAAGACAGTCCCATCCCTCCTCCCTTTCTACCCCTTTCATGCCGCTGCCATCTCTCCCCCGGATACCCCCCACTGCAGACAACTATGACGTGAAGATGCCGTGCGACCTGGTGCTTGCGAATCTAGCCGAGAAGTGCGGCCCATCCGTGCTGGCTGGCAGTGATAGACGCGCAGGAGGAGCCGCTGGGGAAGACCGTCCCATCCCACCTCCCTCCCCATCCCTTTCATGCCCCTGCCACCTCTCCCCCCCCGAAACCCCCCGCCACTGCAGACAACTACGATGTGAAGATGCCGTGCCACCTGGTGCTGGCCAAGCTAGCCGAGAAGTGCGGGCCATCTGTCCTGGCAGTGATAGACGCCTTGGTGGAGCCTCTAGAGAAGACAGTGACGGCGCGCGTGAAGACAGACGCGGTCAAGCAGGAGGTGGACCGCAACGAGGACATGGTCCGAAGCGCCCTGCGCGCCGTCGACGCCCTTTCAAGGATCAGGTGAGGGTCAGGCGTTTGTGGGGGGAGAGTGGGGATGGGAATAGAGGTGGGCGCAGTGAAGCAGAAGCGGTAGCGGAAAAGCGGAAGCGGATGCAGGGAAGTAGGGGTGGACTGCAGCGAGGATGTGGTCAGAAGCGCCCTGTGCGCCGTCGATGCGCTGTCCCGGATCAGGTGAGGGGCGTCTAGCTCTGGGGCAAGACAGGATCGTGAGAATGCAGAAGATCTGCTGCACAGGAGTAGGTGAGCTAGGGCGGTATAACTGGATCGCAGGCGCTCTCTCTTGAATCACTCCGTTCGTTTTCTCAACTCATACCTCGCCCCCCCTTTCCCGTGGCACCTCCCCTCAGCAACGTGGAGTCGTCGAACCGCTTCAAGACATTCATGAACAACGTGGTTAAGGCGGGACCTGTGGGGCAGCTGTACAGCCAGATCAGATCTGAACAGGACGCTGTTGCTGGCAGCAGCCGTGCGGAGCTATAGCATGCCCGCACGTGGAACATAATGACGCAAATTTCAGTCGACCAAAGAGGCACCATTTTTCTAATAGAGGTTGATTTTCGTGCTGAAGCAATTCAAGTGCATCCTGTGTACATTCAGGCATGCAGGCTTGCCCTCGTTCACACCCTTCCTACATATGAGTGGGAAGGAGAAATGTTGGACTTCAATGTCTACTATCGTATTCTCGTCCTAAGAACTTGTAGAGGGGCATATTGGCGAAGAATTATCAATTGGAGGCGTGAGCAAGGTTGATGATTAGTTTGCATCATGTTGATCTTGATGAGTTGGTTTAGGTTGATAGGAGTACATAACCGCTAAATTTATATTCCGTTCGTTCATTAAATCCTATGCCTTATACGGGGTACTCAGAATTCCCAAACGTCTGTCCCCCCCACCTCGATTTTGGGTTAGGTTTCGTTCGGAGCGGGAAAGGTTGGTTCTCGCAGCCAACGACTGAGGACGTGTTACAAGTTGGACCAAGATCGAGATTTGCAGTTTCGGATGAACAGCATGATCGAATGCCTCCGTCTGGAGTTTGATCGCGAAGGGTCAAAATACAGGCAGTCAAGACGGGGGTTGGAAGATGTACCCAACCACGGTTCATCCATTGTCGTTCAAGATGCAAAATTCGCGCGACGGGAATCTGGCGACAAAAGCGAATTCATGAAAACACGCATGGTTGCCCAGCCAACTCCGCAACCGAAAAGAGCGGGTGAAGTTTTCGTCTGCATATGTTCGCCACGTTCGGCATGTGCCGATTCGGTACTTTTGTCGCTGTGGACGAATGTGGGGGTCAAGATCTCACGACGTGCATTCGTCCTGGTGGGAGCGAAAAATCGCGGCATCTTGACCGCGTTGGTACATTCGTGTGGTGTAGAGAAGTTACAATAGGGTTACCACAACAACGGAATCTTGAACGCTCAAGAATTAAACCCCTCTTGGTCCAACTTGTAACGCTTCTTGAGGGATTCAGCCACAGTGGCGCAGCGGCGACACCTGTTGCTGATTGGTCAAGGTCAAGGCGAGGCTTGCTTGCATTCCTCCTGTCCTGTCTGCTGGTTGCTAGCCTGCTGCAAGCAAGGGACACGAATGGGGACGGCACTGTTGGCGAGACTGGAGAGCTAGAGGCGACGGCACTGTTGTTTAACATGATACTGTATCAGTCAGGACGATGAGGAAGACATGGAAACAACTTCGTGGATGTGCCGGCCGCTGGCTGGATGAAGCCTTGAATTCATTTCCGCTGCACAACCCGTGAAAAGCACATCGTGACTTGCTTTGTGCAAGCATATTCAAGTTCTTGCTGGCTCAGTTAGATCCCAAGCTCGGGTGATCAATGGCGGCTTTGAAGTGCAGCATTTTGACGTTAGCGGTTGTGCTGCCGCTGCTGATACTGGCGCATAACACTGTGCCGTCAGCTGCGCAGGACACGAGCCTGCAGCAGTGCTACTGACCGTTGTACTCCACCCAATGTGTAACGCATGGCCTTGTTAAGACTAGAAAGTATGATAAGAAAGAGAGAGAACAGGGGAGATATAGCATTTGGGTTGTACCCTATAAGAACATACCCTATCTAGCCTATAACTTCTACATAACAATATATGTATAAATTAACACACCCCCTAGGCTATATAAGGGGTAGTGCTGAGCAAGAAACACGTAGCTCAGGGTGGCACTACTAGTCCAACCTCTGAGGCAGGGGCCCGAAGACCAGTCAGCAAGAGTACAAGCAAGACAGAGCAAACCAGGGCGGCACAACTAGTCCAACCACTGGAGGAAAAGCCACAAGGCCAGTCTGCAAGGTATAAATAGAAAGGAGTATACAATCAAGGGCCTAGCAAGTGAGAGTCAACAGGAAATAGACCTAACTGCAAGCAGTGCCGCTGATGATCTCTAGGCGGAAGTGCCTTAGTAAAGATATCAGCTGTGTTGGCACCGGAGGCCAAGTGTACTACGCGGGCCTGGTGACGCTGCTGAAGCTCGCGCAGGAGGAAATACCACAGCTGGATGTGCTTCGCTCTGCCCTCAAGTCGAGGCTCCTGACACAGGAGGATGATGGCTCTGTTGTCAGCGTACAGAACCGGGGCAGAGCTAGGCCGCTCACCTAAGTCGGCAAGCAAGAAGGTCAGCCAGCGGAGCTCCTGTGCCGCCATGGCACCGGCGTAGATCTCAGCCTCGCAGCTAGACTGAGCAGCAGACGATGAGCAAGTGGACCTCCACGAGATGGCAGTAGAACCAAGGCTGAAACAGTAGCCCTAGGAGGACCAGAGAGTCTCAGCATCGTCTGCCCAAGAAGCGTCTGTGTGCCCAGTAAGGACCACTGGCCTGCGTCCTCCCAGCACTAGCCCCATGCCCGATGTACTTGCAAGGTAACGCAAAACCCTTGTAGCGGCCGACCAGTGTTGTGGTCGGTGTCTGCCTGTGGCCACAAAGCGGGCCAGGATGCTGAGAGGGTATGCGAGATCTGGGCGAGTGCAAGTCATCAGGTACATGAGGCAACCCACCAGCTCTGCGTAAGGACCACTGGGCTCTGCAGACTCCTCGGGAACTGGAGCCGAGAGCCTGTGGTCTACCGACAGAGGTGTGGGCTGTGTGGAGGAGAACTGAAGACCGAACCTCTGAAGGACCTGACGCACCAAGTGTGAGTGTGTAAGAGTGATGGTGCGCACTGCTCTGTCCCTGGAGATCTGCAGGCCAAGGTAGCGGCGCAGCTCTCCCAGGTCAGTGCAGGTGTGTCGCCTCAGCAGCTCAGCCTTCACAGAGGCCAGCGCGTCTCTGTCTGCTGTAGCAAAGACCAGGTCGTCTACGTAGACAAGGATGTAGAACAGAGTTTGGCCAGCACGAACGAAGAACGAAGGGTCAGCAGAGGACGGAAAGAACTGCAGGTTAGCTAGCATGGCACGCAGCGTGTCGTGCCACTCACGGGGTGCCTGACGCAAGCCATAGACTGGGTGTAGGAGGAGCACCTGGGTCGCAGGAGGGAAAGTACCGGTGAAGCCCTGAGAGCAGCGCACGTAGACCTGCTCGTGTAGGCTGCCCTGAAGGAAAGCAGCGGAGAAGTCGAGGGAGTGAAGCTCGTAGTCACGCAGTGCTGCTACATCTAGCAGCACCCGAAGAGTAGTTATCTTCAGGGTCGGGGCGAAGGTCTGAAAGAAGTCCATCCCCTCTCGCTGACTGAAGCCTCTAGCCACGTAGCGCGCCTTGAACACAGGCGACTCTCCCAGGGGGCGCTTCACCTTGAAGAGCCACCGGCCATCGACTACGTTCACCCCAGGTAGGGGAACTGCATCGCCGGTAGCCCTCCAAGATGCCATCTCCTGCTCCATGGCAGCTATCCACTAAGAGGCCTAGGTTCCCGAGGTCGCCTCAGCGTAGGTGCGACGGGTCGGGATGTTTAAGGCGTCAGGGTCACCCTCAGGGACTAGCAGCATGGAACAGAGATGGGGAGCAGCCTCTGACAGGAAAGCAAGCTCGTACTGCCGGTCCTCCAAGACGTCAGTGCCGAGGGCAGGAGCACCCCCGACGGATGGAGGACAGACAGGGTCAGAGACCAGAGCGGTAGCGAAGTCAAGGCGGTGAGTAGAGGCAAAGTCAGCGACAGCAGCTACAAGAGCGTCAAGATTGGAGACAAGAACAGACGGGTCGGGAACGAGGGAGGCAAGGACCCGAAGAACAAGAGGACGAGCAGCTTGAAGGCAGTCAGACAGAGGGGGAGGCGCGACAATGAGCGACGACGGAGGAAGCGAAGGCAAACGGGGACGACGAGACACGTTGGAACGAAGCAACATAGGGTGAGAATGCTGAACAGGAGAGACAGGACGAGCACCAGAGGGATGGCGAGACCATACGTGAGATGGAGGTCCAGGTCAGGAGACACAAGAGGAGTAACAGGAGAGGAACAAGAAGGGAAACGAGACGAGGACGAGTCCGGCGGAGGAAACACAGGACCGTGAACAGGAAGAGGGGGAGACGACGAGGGAGGCGCAGGCGAGCGGTCAGGGGAGGGAAGACCGAGCAGGTGAAGGGAGGACACTGGCGGCGACTGCTACTGCTGTTGCTCAACGCCGACACCTGGACCACCAGCTGCACCACTGCTTCATCCGGTACACTCCACAGCAGCACCCCCAGAACGAGAAACGTCTCCAGCGCCGGTGCCACCCCCGAGCCCGCCGGGACAAGCCACGACAGGAGCCCCAAGACTAGCACCCTCTCCAACTCCAGCACCCCCAGAGTCCACGATCAGCTGCGGCTGCGGCGGCGGTGACGACGGCGGCTGCGGCGGTGACTGCGACGAGGGAGGAGGAGACACCAGGGGAGGGACAGGCGGCGCAGACTACGCCGTGGGGCCACCGGAGTCAGCCGACTCCTCGACTGGGACAACCGACGGGAGGGAGTGACGTGAGTCACACCGGACGGAGCAGGACGGGGAGGGAGGGGAGCAGGGGCGACCGGGGGAGTGGGAACCAGAAACATGGGGGGGGGGGGGAAACCGGGAGACCTCGGTGAGGAAAGCGGTGGAAAAAGGAGACAGACTCGTCGAAAGTGACGTCACGGGAGTGAAGAAAGCGGTGAGACGACGGGTGGTAGAAGTGCCAGTCAGACGAGTCAAGGGGCAAAACGAGGAAGACAAAGGGAACGGTGCGGGCAGTGAGCTTGTCCGTGCCGAAGGCACGAACGTGAGCGAGGCAGCCCCAGACGTGGAACGCAGACGCGTCACCAGGAAACCCGGTCCAAAGAAGGGTCGGCAAAACCTGTGGCCGCTGAGAGCGAGGCCAGAGGTTAAGCTGGTGAGCGGCGTGGCGGACGGCGAACGTCCACAGAAAATGGGGTGCACCGGCATCGATCATGGAGGTACGAGCCACCTCCATGACCAAACCGATGCGTTGCTCAGCGACCCCATTCTGCTGCGGGGAGTCCGGAAGGGTGTACATCTGGGTGATACCCTCTGCACGACAGAACTGACCCAGCCGACCAGAGGCGAACTCGCCGCCACGGTCGGAGTGGAGACACAGCATAGGGAGACCGCGGTGGAGGCGCGCAGCGATGAGCCATGGGATAAGAACGTCAGGCACGTCGGCCTTCCGCTCTAGGGGAAACACCGTGGTGTAGCGCGTGAAGTCGTCAAGGAGCACCAGAAAGTAGCGCTCGCGACGCGGTCCAGGGACAGGGGCTGGGCCCTAGACGTCCAAGTCCAGGGTATGAAGGGGTGCAGTGGCAGGGCAAAGTGAGGAGGAGTGAGGGGCACGGCGCAGCCAGCCCTCGACGCAGGGCGCACACGGCGGCGCATGCGAGGGAGGGAGAGCAGGGAGCGACGCAGGGAGGCCGAGGGCTAGACCGTGCTGAGACATGTGACGTAG